TCTGGTTGCCTGTATACTGTTCGTTAACGTAAGGTTATTATATGAAATCATGTGAGTGCTGAGTAAGTGTCAAATTAACGACAAATCTCTGAGGTAAAAACTGGAACTGGAAGTTGGTATTAAAATGAAAGTGTATGTTGCTTCAACTGGTCTGATCTCAAATTTAGGGTTGCACTAAAATAATCATCAATGTCATCATTATGCGACTATTTTTTGATTTGATTGATCGGGTTGATGACAGATCGTTAAGATTGCAGAAGAGGTGCATTTCTAAAGGTTAGACTTTGATAGTTGATATCTACCATTTTACTTTTGGACTTATTGGTCGCGGTTAAAGAAAACTGAATGGAGTTGTAGCGCGAGAAACTGTACGTTGTAGCGTGACGAAATCGTAGACAAAGCTACAAGCTGGAACTGATTGACGTAGTCAATCAACTAATGGAGGCCGGAGAGGCACTAAGCACCTTCATCTACAAAATATTAATATTATGAACATGTCTCTGGGATGCTTCCACTTTCTGTGATCATTAATGCCGAGCTGATATAAATTGATACTGATAGCAGGTGCATGCTGGCTTACTGTTATATATCGATGCCTTGTTGCGAAGCTGCCAAGGCATCGCACGGCTTCATATTTTGGTCAAAAGGGATCTTTAGGTCAACAATTTTATAAAACTTTGCTCTATTTCGTTTCGTTACAGACTATCAAAGAGGTTACAGACAGTCAAAGAGGTTGTTCTCCAGCTTAACTTTACGAAATATTTACCATGTTATAATCAGTCAAAGTGACACCTTTGGCTTTATTTCGGAACTGTAAAATTAAAGTGAGCAAAATCTGTGCTGGTCTTGTAAACATACAAAATATTGGTATAAGTGGAATATTCTCAAGCTGTGAAATCGACACCATCTGCATACCTTCAGCTTCACTCGTCAGGAATACTACTAGTACTGTTTACTCCCTGTTTAATTCGGTTCCTTTCTACCTGGTTGTTCATGCACTTGGTGTGCAGTGGTAGTGCATGGTACATCAAGGATAAAAGTAAAGTGAATAACTCACCTGATACTGATACAACCTTGAAATACTTCAAGAGACTCGCTTATTAATATTATAACTATTGTTCTCAAACATTTGTTGCTACTTATTCTTTATATAATTATATTGGGCACTAATCAGTAATCATGATGAGCATTTATTCCAGATATTCGCTTATAGCCACAGCCTAGTAGTAGTTACTCAAAAAGTAAAGGATAAAAGGATAAGCGGGTTTTTGACAATTATCCGTCTAGTTCTACATAAATCTAATTAATGCCATGTTCTTTAGTTCTTTGGCTAAGAACCAACCTATACGTTAAAGAAACGAGAATTGTCTTCCAAACTAATATTGAAAAGTTAGACCTTTTTCATTTTTGCTACCAAGATTACCTTATCGGACCTTATTTGGACGGACATTACTTGAACGCTGGAGGCCCTAGCGTTCATTTTAATGTCCGTTCAAATAAAGTCCGTTCAATTAATGTCCGTCCAAGTTAAAGTCCGTTGAAATTTTTTCAAAAATTTCACCATTTCGAACTTTTTACCCAGAATATGACAACTATGAGAACTTTATTGTGCCGTAAGTTAACGACGGAAAGGTTATCCTTGGTCTGCCGAAATCATGGCACTCAACAACATAGTTCATGAGCTAGTCCCCGCCAACATGACAAACTTGTTCCAGCCTCTAGATATTACGGTAATTCGTGTTGCCAAGGACATTGTCCGACGTTTTTATAGTTCATATTACTGAGGGGAGGTAATGAAACAGTGCTAGGAAAGCTCCACGTGATTTTAAGGTTAACCTAAAGTTGTCTAAGATAAAACCACTTCACGCCGAATGGCTTGTAAAAGTTAACACTGAAATACAGGACCGGGGTAGTTTGATAAAAAAAGGTTTCCACAAAGCTAGAAATCACTGATGCTTGTTTAAGCATGGACTATTTCATGCACGAAAACCCATTTAATGAAGATGATATGTGATATTAGACACTGATCATGTACACATATTAACATTTTTACTGATTAATGACTGCTATTCTTACTTACTGTATAAAAATGGATTAAAAAATCATTTGCTGAAATTAAAAAAACGTCTAAAATTGAAAAAAATTCGGATTTTTGATGGTTTTGAATGCCTTCGAGCGTTCATATTAATGTCCGTTCACAATTATGTCCGTTCATGTAATGTCCGTCCAAATAAGGTCCGATAAGGTAGTAATTTCGATGGCCAAAATATTGATCAATTTTGATTTTTGTGCTACACTGTCGAATTACAAAACGCCATTTCATTTAATCCGAAAAGAAACCCCTCGAAAATGGATAGATACAAATTGTAACATTCCCCAGCTTTAACCACTACCAGACAGGGGTACTGGTACTACCAGTACCCTTGTACAACCAGTACTCTCGCCCTATTTTATAATTAGCACTGTTTAATTGGTTCACGACTCGGTCAGCTGATAGAACTAATACATGAATATATGATAAATGACATCATTTCGTGCTACCCATCGATAGAGAATTATATTCATTTGCTTTACTGAACGAGCTGTAAATTAAGTTGAGATCTGTGCTAGCTCACTGTAGCTGGTGTCAATAAAATGTGACAAATCAAAATCTTAGCCTAATCAATCCTCACAACCGTATTTAAATAGATCCTTTTATTAGTTCATATTGTAATAACTATCAGTTTAATGAACAAAAGACGCCAAAAATGCCGGATAGCTTTCAATAAATTTTTAATTTCAATCAATAAATAGGCTGATCCGAATAGTGCCGTGCATTACGATTTAGAATCGTTACTATGCTTTAATAGTTGACGTGTCACATCCCGCCGTAGCTTATTAATAAGGCGGCGGGCCGCCGCCTTATTAATAAGCTACTGCTTTTTAATTGACCTTGCATTGCACTTTTATTAGCATTAAATTTAAAGTTATTTGAGCGAGATTTAGCCTAGTTACCACTACCAGTTCCCTAGTTACCAGTTCCCTTCCTACTACTTCCTCAAGCTGGTACTGGTAAATGAAGTGTTTTTCATATTCTGAATCACTTTTTAAGTATTTGTTGCAGTTATAAGCGAAGAACTAACGATTTCTAATTGCATTGCTTGCATACTATCATATACTGAATTTTCTGAAAAATGTTTTCAGTGCAAATTTATTTTCAATTGCTGATTTATATTTATAAAACACCTTTTGAACGAAACTCAAAGTTTGTATGCTGAACAATTTGGGGTGTATAACTATAAGTGTGGGTATTCTCAACTCTCGATTTTTATCTCAGGGGGTCGTTCACATATTACGTAATCACTTTTTGGACAATTTTTACACCCTCCCTCAGTAATCAGTTTTACACATAACTATAGTGTCAAAATTACACTAGCGTAATGATTTGGAAACCCCCTCTCCCTCGGCTGATTACGTAATATGTGAACGACCCTTCAGGACGTTCGCGTTTGACCCCCCTCCTTCCTGACACTGACAGTTCATCACTCTTTGATATAATATTATTATTATTTTCAGTCCAACATGACCTCTTTCATGATAAGAGACATTCTCAATCTGACCTCCTCCGATAGCGAACAAAGCGACTTATCCACTCATCAACCAGAACGCAAACATAGAAACTCCCCCGATCGGAAACGAAAACACAGTGTGTCCACCATATGTGCTCGTGAGGTCACGCATCTCTCACGTGACGTCACACACCTGTCGCGTGATGTTACGCGAAGTCCGGAGGAAGTCTGTTCAGACATCGATAAAAGGAATTCTTCTGAATCTGGTAGTCCTGGAATGATACAAACCTCTTGGAGCAGAAACAAGATGAAAGTTAGAACAGTCTTTACTGACATTCAGAGGCAAGTTTTATTCATACTTAAAATACTAATCCATCATTAATATTGAATAATGAATATTACTCCTAAAATTGCGGGTCGAAGAAGATGGCAGTAGCATGGAAGGGTAAAGGGTTAACAGAAATAAAGCAAGTGAGGACTAATGAGCCAAAACTAATTTCTATTTCACCATACCTATAATTCGAATAAAAAATTGACAATCAAAGTCTTATAATCACAAAGATCGTATAATCTTATAACGCTCAGGTTTGTTTTAGAGCAGACGTTTAAGGATTATAAATTCCTTGCTTACTCAGAAAGAGAAGAACTGGCTAACGGGCTTGGTCTCTCCGAAAATCAGGTTTAATAAATAAAACTAAAAAACTAAATCACAGCACATAAGGTCCTAATTTCTGCCAAACTTTATCATTATATTAGTGATTCCTCTCGTCTAGAGAAATTACCAATGAAACCTCCCAGATAAAAACGTGGTTCCAGAATAGGCGGAGTAAGTGGAAGAAGAAGAGACCGTACGAAAGCAGAAGGGTGCTAGCGTTCCTCAGAGCAGGTGTTCCTCAACACCTTATACCCTCACCTACCGGCTCAGATTCCGACTGCAAGTGCTCCATCACTAGCACATTCGGTAGGGACCGTTTTTATAGGTTTATTTTTGCTTTCGTCAATGGTACAATTTTATGAGCAACATGATCAAGCTTTTGTAAATTCCCTTCAGCCCTATTTTGTTCAAATTTCAGTAAACCATGACCTTCATCCCGGTTTTTAGGCACGGATCTGCATGTCAGATGTGAGACCTCCTGTGATCATTCAGTGAAACTTCCCCACAGTCTTCTAACCCCGACTGCACGACCAGTTTTGTGGCAGGTGCTACCTTCCAGTGCTCCCTCGGAGCACCCACGTGACTTCTCATCCTACTCATGTGATCAAGTGCTCTTACAACCTGGTAATGTCTCAAAATGAACCCCCCTGTTTGACGGGTGATACAACAACCTCAGCAAAATCTTTAATGATAATAAGAGTCCACGTTATTACGTGCCAATTCTCAGTGCGTACCTTTTCAGAACAGAATTTCTCAGACATTTTATGGGATAGATAAAGCGAAAGTAAAAATCAGACTCTCGAGAAAAGTTTTGGTTATTTTGTTAATAAATTACAAGTTCATTTTAAAAACATCTAAAAAACATTTATCGTATCAATTATAATATCATATGTTCCTAGAACCCCGTATAATACAAGTTGGACTGTTTACTTTGTATTAGCTACTGGGTGAGTGCAATCATTTATTTCGACACTACTTAGTCAAACAAAAACTTGAGGTGACGTCATGACAACACCACGTGACGTCATCAAATCACCACGTGACGTCATCACATCACCACGTGACGTCATGACGTCACGTGACGTCATCACAACACCACGTGACGTCATCACATAACCACGTGACGTCATCAGATAACCACGTGACGTCATCACATCACCACGTGACGTCATTACAACACCACGTGATACAGCTCTACTCCACGATGTCGTTGTTATGACCGTTACACTTGTTATCTTGATCAGCCTCTTCTGGACTATAATCTGATTCCGGCTCAATACTCGACCAGTCACTGTATCCATCGTCACTTGTGGAGCTTTGATCCTCATATGCGTCTATCCACCTGCAAATTCTGTCTGGTAATTTGGCGACGAAATATGTGTAACAATACATTTTAAAGTCAGGGCTGTTAGCTGTACCATAAAAATACGAAGACTATACTGTTACCACTGGTAATACCAGTATAATTTAAACTTACTGAGCCGGTAGTATTAATTCTGAAATTTACCTCTGAATTTCAGCACGCTTATCCGGATCTGTCTGCAAATCAAGCTGGGCCACCAAGAACTTAACATCCACCATAATCAGGCTCTGAGAATGAAAATTCGTTTATATTAAGCTCAGCAATCGAAGTAATAAATGTATAGCTTTTTTTAAAAATCTCCAGAAAGCGATTATAGATTTTATCTAAGAATATTGCTTAGAATCCTTGCCAGATACTGACAGTTCCAATTGTATCCATAGAGGTAGATTTTATCGAAAGTATGTTGTCAGACTAGGTTAGAATATTCTAAACTAACGTTCAGGGCTTCATCATCCCTCCGTCCATGACCTCTTGTCTTGAGCGGTTTCTTGTACTTCTTCCCGAATGCCAGTCTGTTCATCAGCTCGAACACTTTCCTGTGACTGGTCTTGGTTCGAGAGGATATGCTCATTATGGTGGCAGACAGGATGGACATGCCAAGGTAGAGAGCTAGCGCCCACAGTGCTAGAATCATCTGAAATTAAATTATAATGTTAGTGGCCATTTAAATCTTTACTTTTATCGATTATGGGGTTTCCTAGAAGTTTTTATAAGATTTGAGGTCACATTTGCTACTCCATGTACAAAAAAACAATGATTTCCCGTGTCCCAATTTAGCATATCTAGCAATGAAGTATGGTAAATCGCAGTACTGTTAAAGATTGAATGAGGCAACCTCATCCATTTCACCCAAATTTTAGGAACAGTGTCCGTGTCAAACTGTGCCGTGAATGTGGGTTTTTTCAGTTCGCCTTTTTATTCTTAGTTTCCATTGCGAGAACAGATCTTTATTCGTTTCGTGACTAGGCATCTTGTAAAATCTCACTTAATTGCGACCAGGCCATTTTGAACTGATATCTTCCTTTTTATGGCTGTTACTGCAGTCTCCTTCGCCACAGTGAACCATTACTTTCAAGAGATGGCATTAGATCGAGAAGACAAAAAATAAACATATTGAGATGTGGTATAATATGAAATATCATCAATGAATATTAGAATTACAGTGATAGTTGATACTAGCAAGCTGGATTCAACTTTTTAAAATTTCAAGCAGAATTTGAAGGTTAGAAGTGCCTGAGAATAGCTGTCAATTTATTCAGCTGCAAATCTAAATCTTAAGCTTAAGTAACACGTAAGCAGTTTCCCGGTATATAGTAGCAGAATGGGAATATTTAATATATATTTTAATATATCTAACATATATTTTATATTTCGTGTTCCAACCTAATTATAGTTAGCAGGCTATATGTGTAGTAAAATTCCGTTGTGGACCATTACACACTGTAAGGAAGATAAATGAACTCATAATACAACAATCAAAGTTTCCCGCATTCAAAAGGTGCAGGTGTTACTCATTTAATAATCAATTAATAATCAATTAATAATCAATTAATAATTAGTCAATTAATAATCAATTAATAATTAGTCAATTAATAGTCAATTAAATACTCACAACTCGGTTATAGTCACTTTGTTCCTCGAACCTGATGACAAAGTCCCCAAACCCGATAGTACTAATGGTAACGTAGATAAAGTAGATAGCCTGTATGTAGGTTACATCCCCCATGATGAGGCGCACTGACCTGAAAAATATAATACTATAATGGGTACTGGTAGTGTTGGTTTCAATAATCTGATCTCGACTGTAATAAACTGATAAAGTTCTGAACATTTTAAATACTCTTCCTAGCATCACCTGTGACTAATGACCACAAGTTGCCAACAGCAGCTCCGAAATGGATTAATATGACAGATTCAGGATGTCATCGGACGGACCAAAGGTTATAACGATTGAAACTTGATTAAGTTACATACGGATTTTAATGGCAATAACCACCACATTTACATCACTTACAATGTAATTGATGTAATTGATGTAAATAACATACCCAGCACTGAAAATAACGAAGAACAAAAGCAGGGAGAGGGTTACAATGAATGTAGCACTATCTTTCTTCCCTTGACCCTTGTTGATGTACTTCCCCGCTGAGAAGTTTAAGAACCTGGAACACAACTAGTGAGATGAATTTCATATTTCAAATTTCAAAGTCTTATCTGAGAGTCTGAGTTCAACTCAACTAATCAACTTTTTAAGTTGACCGGAAAATCGGATTAGAATAAAAGTGGATAAGTAAGTGGATAACTTTAAGCGAGCAGTTCAACAGTGGTAATTATCTAATTACAACAGTGGTAATTATCTAATAATTATAATTACAAACCTTGATATGACGCAATTGAGGTGTTTACCAATACAACCTAGCGTGACCATGTGCAGTGGTATTCCCCCTAAACTGAAGAATATACAGAACAACTGTCCCCCTCCTGTCATAGGACTGTGATGCCCGTAACCTGCAGGATAATAAATTGGTTATTTACCACTTTGTAATAACGATACTCAAGTACAATTACGTTAAAGTAACTTAATGACACGGTTAAAATGCTAGACTCGCCTGACAGTGATCATGGAGGGGGATGTTTAAAACATATTATAAGTGATTAAGGAGCTTCCTTAGCAAAATACATGTGTAAATCGTCTTCAGCTTAACCTGACTGTTAGTTAGTATTGACACTTGTATAGTAATATAAGTTAACTTACGTGTTAACTTTGAATAAAACTTCTACTTTTAGTATACAATGTTTCCGGACTAATGAGCAATAATGACATATAAGTTTGAAGTTTCTAAGTTTCTATATAAGTTTCTAAGTTCTTAAGTTCTTAAATTTCTAAGTTACTAAGTTTCTAAGTTTCTAAGTTTCTATATAAGTTTCTATATAAGTTTCTAAGTTTCAAAGTTTATCAAGAAAGGAGAACTAACCAATAGTTGTGGTAGAAGTAATGCTGAAGTACAAGGTAGAGATAAAATCCCAGGAATGTCTTGCTGTTGCAGGTAGCTCATCATCGTGAAAACTAAAACCTTTACTGAAAGCAATTTTAAGTACGTTTTCCTGCTCTGCTGTCAGGGACATTTCTTTTCTCACCTCCTTCAACTGATCTGAAGAATAAAATGCAAATGATGCATAATTGTCACGGGCAAAATATAATTGTCGCGACTCAGGCAAAAGAAGCGCTGTTAAAAGTACAAAAACATATCAAGATGAGAACCTGAACCAGCTGTGAAGCAGTGTGCACCCTGTGCAAATATCCAAACTTTACAAACTACACTTTTAACAACAGACTCAGAAAAGGATGGAACTGCAGAAAAGCTACATAAATTAAGCACTGTCCGTAATTCATGTATAAATGTGGATGAAAAGTCGTCTTACCAAGAGCGATCCTATATCCCTTCTGAGTGGAGTCCCTCTCCAGAAACATGAACATACCACTTCCCAACATCAGGTAAATGAACTGAGCCACGATAAGACACACCATTTGACATACTGACTTCTTCACCTGTCTCTCCTTCTCCATCGGCAACATGATGGCGTGTGATCCCTCCTGGGAGCCTTCAGATGTGAAGATGGGGGTTTTACTTGAAGTGGATGAAAAGGTTGGAGGCTGCATTTTTAAACGAGTAGTGAAAAAGTGAAACAACGAGAACGGTAAGGAATAAAAATGAGTGGAATCAATAATGATCCAGGAAATGCTGGATCATGTATAAGGAAACTAAGGACAGGAAATTAGATAAAGCCAAAAGTGACGGAATTGTTGTGGTCCGATAAAGTCATTACCCTAGTCCCGAGTACGTAACTGATATGATCCCTTCTAAGTTCATGTTAAAAAGAAGGGATATGTATGCGAGTTGCGTAATTGCCTCTGACGACATTTTTCTATTTTTAATGGCAGTTGAAAACTAGTGTCTAGTGACTTCATTCAGTGGTAAAATGGTGCACTACATAATGCATATAGCCGTTGTTTTCATAACTGCGAGGAGTATAACATAATGCACTACAACTGAGATTGTAATGGTATACTAATCGCTGTAGACCAAGTACCAACAATAAACCAGTCTGTATATATTGTGTTTACGTGAGATAATACTGAACTAAACACTTCGAAGAAACAGTAAACACACGGTTCTGAAGAAACAGTAAACACACGGTTCGCGGGTTCATTCCTTCAAAGAAAGGCTGCCAAAAGATAAATTCTTACTGATCCTAATTAACAAGTTAACAAAGCAAACTACAACAAGGGCAATATGTGACAACGTACAGCTTTACTGAGCTTTGTATTAGTTAATGTGTCGCCAGAAATATTTGAAGTGACTTTCAGCAATCAGCTTCCCAATAAAGGAATGTAAATTTTGTGTACTCCGCTGCTGAACAACTATTAAAAGTCAATGAAATCATAAGATTCTAAATTTATCCACGGTGCTTGCGTTAAATTTAATTATATTTTCACAGTAAGGGATATTATTAAAGTCATGATCACCAGCTACTCAACTATTATACTATACTTGACTGCTGCATGATCATAAGTATTGTTTAAGATACGAACAGCCAGGGGGCAGGGACATCAAACGCGTAGTAACAATTGACAATTCAAAGCCATGGACATGCTTGAGTAAATAGGAGAGAATCGGAACTAAAATCAAACTTTGTAAAAGAAGAACGTACATGACAGTAACAAACATGTAAATGACAGTTCACTGTAATACTATCCACGTAGTTACTTAATTTATACCAGCTGAACGGAAGGAATCACCACACATATCACAGACAAATGTAACATCCGAACACCCTGCTACGGTTAAATGTAAAATGATCACGTTTGGTAACTTGGTGATTGAGGTAATATGATATGGTCCGTTATAGTGGAATTAACGTTGTGTCACTTCACGAGTACAGCGTTTGTTGCCACCACCTTTAGCGCTGTGGTGACGTCACGCTGCTAGTTGTGACGCTATACCACGTTATGCCCTTATAAGGAATGCCACGTGGCTTTTTATCTTCCTACTGAAATTACAATTTAATCAATCTTATTACCACTTCTTATGAAGTTTGAAGTAGGTGTTAGCCAGTGAGTAGCATGAAAACTAGTGGAAATCAGTAAATTCCGGCTTCTTCTGTGCAGCTATAGTGGCTGTAGGGCTTCCTTCCAGAATCTGATATGACACTGCACTTCAAAGATCACCTTTATTCACTTAAAGTGTACATCTATACAATATACATTTCATACATTATACACTATACAATATACATGGATGACCGAATGAAGAAAAGTTAGTAAAAGCCAGAGATACCTGTTTTCTCGGATCAAATTCAATTTGAGGCTCGTCATCCTTAGTCATTGGTCAAGACACTTATCTGTAATTGTAATTGTATGACCTAATCTTTTGTTCCTATTTACAGTGACATCATTATGATATTGAAACTATAATTTACTAGAAATTCTAGAAAATACGCAACAAAAACAGAAGCCAATTTATTAAGGAGCTATTGCTAAGTAAACAATTATTAAACATACTTTATCGGACTTTATTTGAACGGACATTAATTGGGCGCTGGAGGCTCTTACCTAGCGTTTATTTTAATGTCCGTTCAACTTCAAATAAATTCCGATAAGGCATTTAAAATTAAATGCTGATTATGAATGCCTTCGAGCGTTCATTTCAATGTTCAAAATTATGTCCGTTCACGCAATGTCCGGTAAACTACCGTTCAATAAGTAGTCTAGGGAGTAGCTAAGGATACATTGGATCTATGCGATCTCCTCGGTCGAATTAGCCGAATGATAGGAAACTTGATTGAGGGTTAAATGAGGAGTGGTACCTGTTAAAAGTTCAAGAAACTTCCTGGGACACCCCTTCAGTACATACTGTAAACATAGTACTATTATTATTATTAACAGAAAGCAGCTCGATAACTTATTTCCTATTCAATAAATTTTATAACGATAAGATGCTATAGCTAGCACGTAAAAAGCAATCGCTGGCCCATATGAATTATTATAAAACTGTTAACATTGTTCTTTCATCAAAAACAAAGAAAAGCCGGAATCATGTCCCACAATCGTGTTCCTATTGACATATCAAGTCGAAATCTTACTTTACATTTTAACGGTTGTGTTCCCCTTTTGAGGCGTTTCTTCCTCTTCCACTCCATTATTCCCCGTCCTCCCAATCTTCAATGACATCACGAGCAACACACCGGCAGAAACAGTGCTGACAATAGCCACTACCATAAACAAGTAGTAGAGCTTTTCCTTTCTTATCTTTGCGTATCCACCCTGACAAGCCTCTCTTGGACTGATCTGTTTACAGAGCCTTGGTTTAGCATCCTCCGAACATGTCACTGTCTGCACTGTTGTATAGTTGAGACTTCTCACTCCGTAACCCTGGTCACACTGTATCTCCACCTTCTTTCCTGGTAGGAATAAAGGGACGTTATCTTTGTTTTCGACTCTTCCGTGAGGTACGGAGAACTGGTGTAAGGGGCAGGACTGAGCTCCAGTTTGTTCAGGCTCCTCAAAGGTCACCCCAAGAAGTGATTCTGCGTCACTTATGTCATTGCTAGTGAAGAGGGTATAAGGGTGGTACGAGACCGAGTATATTGTGTGTCTTTCATAGCCTATTATTACCTCGGCCTTCTCGTCATAATGAACATCCAAACAAAAGTCTGGTCCTTCTACTGGTTTTATCTGATAATATTCTAAAGCTTAATTTTGGATCTCAACGGTTTTCAGGGCCCATCTGCCGGCTTCTGCGCAACTTTTCCAAGTCAAATGGTAAACTTCCTCATCGACGTTCTGTAACGGTGTTTTGCGTTTAGTCAAACAAGCGAACCCTGCTATGTCTTGCCGGATCAGAAATCCTGCTCCGGATTGACTTAGTGATACTACCTCTGAAATGCTCAACCCTGGAGAACTTCGCTGGACGTTCTCGACGCAGTGCTTATAAAGTGTAAAGTACAGGAGCCTTTCGTACTTCTGCTGTTTCGAAAGGAAATCTTTCGTGAATAAAGAACAGGTGCCGTTTGTGATATCGAACGAAAGAGCAAAGCATTTGAAGATGTGTTTGCAGTACAGCCAGCATTGGTGCGCCCCAGCCGTAGTGAAGGTGGCCTAGTGACTATCATTAGGAATTATTTTCCAGCCGGTTTTCAAACATGCTACAAAATTGTCATCTTTATCCAATGCACTGCACCTGCAAGGCTGAACTGCGATCATCAACACAAGAAGCGTTGTTGCGACTCCAGAGGACATTGCTGCAAACTAATATTGTTTTTAGCTACCACATGGGGGGGGGGGGGGGGGGGGGGGGGGGTGCCAAAATGGCAAGTTGGTCGTTAAGCTCCGGACAGTCTATGCACGGTCCCTGCACGGTCCATGCAACAATGAACACTTGATGCACGGTCCCTGCACGGTCAGTCCCTGCAAACTCCCTGCACGGTCTATGCACGGTCCCTGCACGGTCCCTGTACAGTAACATATGAACACCGGCTACTAGCCGGCACTCGAAAAGCGGTCACTAGCCGGCTACTAGCCGGCTAGTGACCACTTTTTAAGTGCCGGCTAGTAGCCGGCTAGTAGCCGGTTTGGGACCTCGAGAAAGTAGGTCTGCTTTAGAGCCAAGCTAATAGCCGGCTAGTGATCGGTTAGTAGCCGGCTGGTGACCGGTTAGAAGCCACTAGTGACCACTTTTCAAGTGCCGGCTAGTAGCCGGCTAGTTGCCGGTTTGGAAACCCGAGAAAGTAGGTCTGCTTTAGAGCTCAGCTAATTGCCGCGTAGTGACCGCCTAGTAGCCGGTTAGTAGCCATTTTGTGGTCACTAGCCGGTTAGTAGCCGGCTAGTGACCACTTTTTAAGTGCCGGTTAGTAGCCGGTTTGGTAATGGTAATGTGAAGTTGAGGAGCTGTTATTACAAAAGTTAACGGGTGATACTCGTAAAATATTTGTTCCATATCGTCGACGAGTCCAACTCGGCGCGCGTCCTGGTAGGTTGTAAACCTACAATACAAAAGTGACTACTAGCCGGTTAGTAGCCGGCTAGTAGTATAGGTGTTTAATATGTTACTGTGTTTATATGTTACTGTGCAGGGACCGTGCAGGGACCGTGCAGGGACCATGCATAGACCGTGCAGGGAGTGTGCATGGACTGGCCGGAGCTAAACGACCAACTTCTCGCCAAAATGCCAAATTCTCATTCTCAAAAATTGATTTTGAGCATTTTGGACCACATTGCACTGATATGAAGATCAAGAATGATTTGGTATATTACTATTTTTGAGTGGAGCAATTTTTGAGAAAATGAGGAATCCATGCTGAATTTCTCAAATTCAAAAATAATTTTTGAGACATTTTTGAGTATTCCCGGCGAAAATGGTTAAATTCTCAGATTCAAAAATTCTTCCTGATAATATGAACACCTTCGAATAATCTGCAATTTTCTACGATGTTCACAACTAAAGATATTTGACAAACAAGAAAGGTGGTAAAAAGTGGTAAAGTGGCAAAAAGTGGCCTTAAGACACGTGGAAAAGTTTGGAAAAGTTGGTCAGCCGTAAAGGGCACCTAATGGGACTAAAAAACGTCAAAAATCCTTAGAAAACTTCTTGTGTCGGCGCGGCAGATCGATTTTTTCAGACGGATTTGTCTGTACTAAGGTTCAGGATTCGAATCCCAGTGTAACCTAGTCTAGGGAGTAGCTAAGGATCATTTTTAGTTTTTCTTGATTTAAAAATGTGGTTTTAAAAAAAAGTTTTTTTAACGCGAAAGTTTTTTAACGCTTTTCTGTATCGGTTATCAGACTCAACACCAAGAAGGAGTAGTATAATGCTTGGTGTAATATATTTGGCGTATCTTTAACGGAAGCTCGAGATCTGATATTTCCGTATAATCATTATGTTAATTCGGTCCCCACTGAGAACCGAATCAATTATGATCGCTTGAAAATGGGAAACATACCTTACACCGTACCTACAGTACCACATTCCACAATAACCATATGTTTAAATGAGATTCACCATGTCTGACATTGTTGTGTAAATTTGTCTCACTGTTCCAATTACAGCATCATGGCCGCATCATATGAACAGTCACTCTAGAGGAGGCTTGTTGCATGTGTGTGGTAAAGTTTCTCTTACTCCCATAATCATGGCTCATTGTCTTCATCCACCCATTAGGTACCAATGGCAATACCATAGGAAGAGGAACAAATGGAAACTTCGATAGTTCGTTTACTCAACTTGTACTTGGGATGACTTCAAAAGTCAGCCAACGGTTGGGATGGCCGGTTGACTGCTCCTCTCCTCATCCGATTAATACACTTGGACCCCCAATTAGTTTACAAATCGTATTGTTTAAACATTTGCTTGTGTGTGTTGGACCCGTAACACGAATTGTATTTGCTGGCATATATATACTATAGTTAAAAGGCGCTTAACCCAGCACCAGGAAATTGTAAATAATACAATGAGCTGGAAGAGCTGATCTATAGTTTACACGCTCATTATGATTCTAATATATAATAAAAAGAAACACTTTGTTCTCTTTATGCCGTCCATGACCATGTAATTACGCCGCCTCGCCTGGTTGCAATGACTGGCATAAGATTTACTGGGCGGCGCTCAGCCTGTCATTCCGCCGAATCTCTATTCATCTTTATGAACATAATGGCCTGGGGTCCCCAGGTAAGCATACGATTTGTATTACAATTTAGTTATTTACACTCGACCTTTCATCTCGCGACGTTGTATTCACGAATTTGACCCTAATATTAGCGTAATGAATTAAAATTCGATTTGATTTCGATGGCTTATACAGTTATAGGGTGAAATAATATAGCATGAGTATTTCGGTGCTTTCAAGAGCCTTTTGTCAGTCACTGCCCGAGTGCTAGACCCATGATATCATCAATCACCTGTAGCCGGGACGGTGGAGGGGGTGCACGATCACTGTGCAGTGTGCACGTGAAGCTGTTACACAACAAACACTCTGTAATTCCAGTGGCATTGTCTCAGTGTGGTTGTGGCATTGTCTCAAACAATGTTTAAACGTCTTTACTCTAGTTTACTGTAGTTCACCTCTTATATGGTCGCCCATTCTGATGCCCATTTCCAAGCGTTTAGGCCTATGGACACAGACTGATGTTTAACACCACAACTATATGACCCTGTAACCGTTTTGAAGCACATTAATATACACGTCAACACGACCTGGTTTAATCTTGCTTTATATACTATTCCAATAAGAATCAAGAATTTGCTCCATTATCTACTAGAAACAGGGTTAGTAGTTTGAATAATGGATCTGGTCACATGTGAGTAACATTATAGCTCACTGTGTGTGAGCAATTACATAGCTTACTTCAAACATTAACACAATGTATAATCCTCTGGTCCGCCCTATGTAATGTAAGTGTCACCTGATCTAAGTGATGGACCCTTATCTCCATACTATATAGTGTCCTTGTCTGTATCCATGTTCACAAAATTACGTGAGATTCCCCCTTTGTTTTGTGGGGGATCTAGCTGAGCAAGTCAAATCTGTCCAAATGCTTTTATGGATGGGGATGGTTAAATCAAATTGTCGATTCCAGGATTTAAAGAACTGAACTAAAAGGTCCAGACCAATTCAATGGTAAACGTATTGGCTGATGTCCAATCACCAATTATTATGGTTTAACATTGAGTCAGGAAGCGGGCCCTTTATCTTTATCTTTATCAGTACTGTTCAAGGTTATGATCCTTAGTGGAGGGGAAATTCCTCAACTCACTTGCCATTGTTACACCATCCGTTTGGGGACTCTCAAATTAGCCTAATCAAATAGTTAATACTGAGTAGTTATGTTGTGTAGAGAGCCGTGGATCAGTCTTATTCGCGTACTGTGATGTTACATAACATAGTACTTTATACATCCTAGGTCTAGACTTAGTTAATTTTGAGTACCAAGTTTGATTGTTCGCGAGGAAACGTCTGGTTCGTAACCCTTTGCGTCCGATATTTTCTGTGGCGTTATTATGGCCATTTATTGAGGATCCAAGCTTCTTAATTTAAATAGATAACAACCCCTCGACCAAAATTGAAGAATTTTCTTCAATTCTTTAATAGATTTAAGTACAACCATCGACCAAAATCCGCTATAGTGCCACATTCCCAATTTTACTTCGTTGGCTCATGAGCTATGACTTGATTTTAGCTGTCAGGTGTAGTTCGATTTTCAAGCAAGTAAATTATTTTGAGAATTCGTCGTCTCACTTTGATCCGATAGATATGTGAACAGACCAGTTTGTGCAAAAACGTGCTTATCAAGGATAGGAATCTATTTGTTTGGAAAGCTATTGTCTACAGAACCCTCATACCTGTAAGTAAAAGTTAATTTGATCTAATTTATAGTTGATGGATTGCTTTATTTGTTTTATCATTTGGTACGAGTTTTTTTTGCCAAATATGCACCTGCAGCGTGATTTATATCACGAGATGTAGCATAATTAGTTTGTCATAATCTGGAGTGTATACATGGTGAATTGTAAGTGATTTCTCAGGTAGACGACAATATAATAACTGATGCCTCCACTCTGGAGGCTAGCTCTTCTCCTATGCTCCGCCTCAGCTACCATAGCAGCTGCTGACTTGGAAGATATCAAGAAGCGTGAAACGAACCAAGGTGAGAACTGAGAAGAAGAGATTAACTACAGGAATAACTTCAGTAGCCATTTCGAGTTGAGTTTTAGTCAAAATTATCAATTTTCTGCAGAAATTGTGATGAATCTCTCCGAGGCTGAAGCTATAAATATATTTACAGCATGATTGTTTAAATTATGGAATGAATCAATAAAAGTAAAAGTGCCATTATACGCTAACTGGTAAGAGTAAGGGCACAATGCACATAGGTAATACATATTAAGGTATTTAAAAGAAGGACACACAATTGAAGACTCGTAAACCGTTATCAAAGAACTATTTCAGGAGAAAATATGTTGATCACCATTGTAAGTGCAGAAATGAAGAACCAGTTCGGAACATACCCTTCCTCAAATCTTATAGACGGAGATCTGGACAGTTTCGCTCACACATCAGAAGCTGAAGACGGTATGTGGATGCGCGTTAATCTGGAGAAGCAGTATTCTGTTACTAAAGTGATCATCTACAACAGAGTACACAGTTGCTGTCAAGACAGGATAGTTGGAGCTTCAGTCTTCATAAAGACAGGAGATGAGCATGTTACTGATTGTGGTACGATTAGCAGAACAGAAAGTTCCTACACTTTTAACTGTGAAGGAGACGGAAATGTGATTGAGTTGAGTCAGGAAGGAACGGTAGGAGTATGGAACATTGCTGAGATTCAAGTCTACGGCACACCTTCAGGTTTGGATTTATAGATAATATTTTTCAGGGAGGGGAGGAAGGATCCTTTTTTTACCCCGACAATCTTTTAAGCCATCAAGTTACGTAGGAGCAACACATGGTCGCTTGTTGGACCAAATTTTGAGACCTAAAGTTCTTATTCTTTGGCCAGTTTTTTATATCTTCATACTGCTAAAAAGGTCATAAATGACCCAGCCAAAAAAGTTCCAATTGCATATCTGTCACGGTTTAATGACTAAAATTCGTGTTAAAGTTGATGCCGTGTTGTCAGTAAAATGGCAACAGATATAATATCTATAATCTATATCGTCTCGCTTTATATATAGTAAGATATTCACACATGTCTTTCTGACAGTTAATGAGGAGATCGGCTTCACTGTTGAACTTGAAAGACAGACAGTCAGATCAGAGTGTAAAATACGGCTATCATTTGCAAAAATATATTTAGTTTTACAACAAAACATCACTTTACCCTAAACAATAAACATCCTAGAAGTGACCTGCACCAGACCCGCAGTCTCAGATGCCACAATTACTCCCGCAGCTGAGACTATTGGCGATGGCGAGGTTTACACGATAAAATGTGATGAGGAATTGATCGATATAACTGATGCTGATGGTGCTAGTTCACGCAAAGCAACATGTGATGCTGGTAAACTGTCCAAGTTGCCAATCTGTGCAGGTAATCGAAAAAATTGTTCACCTTTGTTTGTAGTAGATTTGGCCTAACGAACAGCAAGTTCCGCGATTAATTCGTGAAAATGTACACTACATTACCTCATGAAAATGTTGCTAAAAAGTTGCCGAAAAATAATACCCTTGTTTGACGATTACCTATTTTTAAGGGCTCACTAACCCATCTGTATTCTGTTAAAACTTTACTAACGTTACCAACCACCAAGCTTGCAACGTTCCCTCTAATATGGGAGTGTACACTGTAACCAATGTAACCACTCCTGGTACCTTTCTCTTGGATGGTGACTCAGTTACTGTGTCTTGTGAACACAACCTGGTTAACTTCGGCAGTGACCTTCTTACTTGTGCAACGGGTGATAAATTCCAATTTGACTTTCAACCTGAGTGCCTAAGTGAGTTTTTGCCAACCCTGATAAATGCAAAAGTTCATTGAATTCGGATGTATTTATGTCGTAGTCATTTTTCGGCTGATTCAGTGTACTGATTGCTTCTCATTATTACAAATTTATTCTCTCCAGGTAAAGTCCCAATAACAGAAACTAAAACTTCATCTGGTGTTTCTGTACCCGCTGTAAACGATGACAGCAATTTGGAGAACATTCAATGGGTCAGGTCTAATGAACAGGAGGTCTGGATTGAAGTGTTCTTCGACTCGATCAATGCTATAAGCATCGTCAAAGTGTTCAATAAAGACGGCTGCATGGCTTCGGATTCATACGATTTAAAAATATCTGCGAAAAGAGATGATCAGTACATCCTGGATTGCGGGAACGTTTGGTTCTGGAACGTTGGTAGTCGTTCCAGAACCAAACGATATGACTGTGCTCTTCAATTCCGATGTGGGTCGTGGTTTGAAGCAACCTCGATCAAAATAACAGATGCCAATCCAACATATGACGGAGAGAATGTCGTGATGAAAATAACAGAAGTCATTATTGGTCGAGCAGCCAGTATGTCTGTAGGTATGAAGTGTATTTGTTAACCCATACCTCCATGCTATAAGTATAGCAGTTATAAACATATTTTCTGATTTTAGCAGCTTTTTTTTCGTGTTACGTATTCATGATTTATGTTTTTTGTTGGTCTGCAGTCTTCGTAACAAGAACTTCTCCAGGTATAACCACAGAACCTACAGTTTTAAAAGAAACAGATAACAATGACGTGTCCATAATATGCACGGTGAAGTACGACCCTCTTTACTTTTTTGAAGGATTTACTTTGAGGGTTCAGCATTTTTACAAAGACGTGGCGGGGGTGCAACCAAAACAGATATCGTCGAAGGATCTTAAGGATGGCTGTTCCTACTCTGAAGAGGAATTGGTGTATACTATTCCAGTGGCGAATAAAGGGCACAATGGCCCTTATCGTTGTAAAGCTACAAAATGGAAGAGCATAACTCTAACACTTGCATTTGTTATCAAAGTAGCCCCAGTCATTCCTTCCATAAAAACTTATCGATGTAGGGAAGTCATTTTTACTTGTAAAATCCATGGTGATAAACCGCGTGCAATAAAATGGTTCAAGGATCAATCTGAAATATCTGCTGTAGCACCGTATGAAATATATGTTACGAGTGCCGACTCCTACTCTGTTCATAGTTACTCAGCTAGCTCACTGGGTTTGGTCTGGAATGGGACCTTAGTGGTAGGGTATTCCACCTTGGTAATCACTCCGGAGGGAACAAAGACTGCTAAAGAAGTGCAGTATCGGTGTGAGGTCTACTGGGACTTGAATGGAAATGATGTTTTGATCAGCACACATTTTAATCTCCTGGTTCACGGTGAGCTTTAAAATTTGACTTCTTGCTACGTGTTGGTTCATTGATATCATTCGTCAAGGTTCACCTGGAAATTCATCCCTGCTTATGGTGTAGATTTATTCTAATATCATTATTCATTCTAAACGATCTAAATTATGAATTATCAGACGTTTATGTGGGTTTGGAAGAACGTGAGGTGATGACAGGAACCACAACAACACTCTCTTGTGTTGTAGACGCTCCCCCAGAGACAACCACTCCGTTTGATATCACATGGACTGGTGGCGATGTAACCTGGGACTCTAAAAATCCCACTACAATATCCGACTACTCTATATCTGCCGGAGTACTCGTAGACCAGGGAGTTGATGATAACTCAGCAGCACCCCGGAGAAGGAGACAGGTAACCACACTTGAGGTCCTATCAGCAGCTGTTGTTCACGATCTTCAATACACCTGTACTGTGGACTCTACTACGTTTAACCTGGAGAATGCTGACGACAAATATTATCTTAATTTGGGAGTATATGGTTAGTAATCAGGATACACGTATTTATACAGTTACCATGAATAGGATGAATAGAATGGGGATATGTGCCAACTTGGAGTTCTAGTAAAGATTAGTTCAGCATAATGAGGTAATGAGCGATTAAGTATAGCCCCAGGTACGACCTTTATAAAAGCTCGTGAAACAGCACTCGTACGGCGTACAGTCAATCATCCCTACATAACAATAAATAAATAGAAATGTTAACACCTAGATTCTCCTCCATTTCAGATGTCACCCCTGTTAGTAAAAACGTTTACCGAGGGGACTTCTCTTCGGAGACAATATCTTGCGTAGTAACGAACATGGTGTCTACAGAACATACCATTCTTTGGCAACCTGATGATACGATGTCTGGTGAGGACATTACCTGGATTTCACCATCCGTCACATCAGAGTTAACCTTGAAGAAGGACCTAGTAACAGATGACCACGTGTATAGGTGTGAAGTTCAGGCTACCACTAAGTCAGAGCCTGCTTCCATCGAAGTTCATCTCAATTTCTACTGTAAGTATGAGATTTTGTTTGTTCACCCGACGCGACAGTTACTGAGCTCTTCCAAATGTACGATATCACTAAGGTTAACGAAAGTATGTAGCTTCGTAAGGCTTCTTGAATATTTCACTAAAATTTGATACCTGACCAATAAGTTATTGGTCAGGTATCAAATAATATTGGCAATAACCTTGTGAATTTATTTCAGCAATCGAAATTAGTCAGTCTGTAGAAATCCGAACACTGAGCGAGGCTGTCACCTTAACTTGTAAGGTAACAGAAATAAGTCATGACATGTCGATCGCCTGGTTATTCACACCAAATTACATGAGTGAGTTAATGTTTCATCAAGAGTTTGATGTGGAATCAAGTTTGAAGTTCAGTGAGCTGAATGTGGTTAGGGAGGCGACAGAGCAAGATAGGGCCTACACCTGTAGGGTGTCCTCTACTCAGCAAACCTTTACTACTTCAACAGCTCGGGAATTTACTGTGGACCTCAATGTTTATGGTAAGTAAGGTGATGGAGTGTATGATAACATGATCAGAGGTTTTCGTACGTCGAAGAATTGCCGTATGAAAATGTTTTGGAGAGTAAATTGTTTAAACTGATAGTTAGATATTAAGCGAATGCTAACTAGAACTTTCTGTCAGACGTAAATGTTATCAACAAAGACATCCAAAAAGACAGTATTGGTGAACAAATAATGATCACTTGCGAAGTATCAGGGATATCAGTTGATCCAGAGATAATTTGGTCAAACACAGATCAAAATGGAGCGGTTCAAGATAGTGATGCCGGAACTTTCGTTAACAATAGGAAAACATCCGTTTTGACTGTAACTTTGAATTCGGCAGAGGACACACAATTCTTTTGTAAGATTGAAAGCGATGAAACAAAGAAGTTGACTGGGACACAAGAAACTGCAGCCATATTTGTTTATGGTAAGAATTTTAACAGGATAGTATTCATTGCAATAAAACATTGTCTTCACCAATTTCTCCTGTGTATCTTCAAAATTATCATTATCCCAAATTCTCAGACGTTGAACCGAAGAGTACAGAAGTGATAAAGAACACGGAAGCAAAGATATCATGCACAATAACTGACATTTCCGCGGCTATGAAAATAACATGGTCGGAGCTTATAACATCGGGTGACACGACCCCCATCTCCGTCTCAGATACATTTTATCCGAAAAATGAAAACCAGATCAGCATAATCACAGTGACATCAGAAGTAGCAACCTCTGACAAGGTGTTCACTTGTACGGTTTCTTCCCTGCAGAACCCAACATCTGACCAAACAAACTTTCAAGTTGAACTGAAGGTGTATGGTGAGTTATATTTGACGATACGCTTGATTTTGATAGACAAAAGAGTGGATTATTTAATTTTATTAAGTTAACAAATTAACGTATTCACAAACGAATATTATGGAGCGTTTCATAATCTTCTAGAACCTGCACAATTATTGCTGTCCTTAATATAGTTTTGTCTTCTTCAGATGTTGCTGTAAACGGACGGGAAGTCTCCAAAGGAACAACTACGACATTAACCTGCGTTGTATCCAACCTGTCTCAGATAAAACTGATACAATGGCACGACGAAGCTGATAAAATACAAGCCTCTGTTCATGTTGATGAAGATATTACTGCTGGGGGATCTCAACGTTCAACACTAACAATCCCCAATCCAACTGAGTCTAAAGTGTTCACGTGTCGAGTATTTTCTACTCTCTACCCTGACAGTCCTCCCTCTGATACACCTGTTCAACTTTACGTTTACGGTAATTACCTTAAATTTAAAAAATTCACGAACATTTTTGTCGTGACATTGAGTGTTTCTACTTCATTTCTCCATTGAATTCGCAAAAATTGATGACGCGAAAATGATCCAGTTTTAGAAATCCACCAAAATGAATGCCCGCTAAAATATCTGGTTTAACAGTATGTTATAACTGCAGATAAAATTGTTTTACCTTTTGTAGTGCATACCAAGACCAATCAACTAAAAATTTTACAGAGGTAGCTGGACCTAGCATAGAAGTAAAAACAGGAGTAACCGTTACTCTCATCCTCACCATCTCCAATGTACGGGAAATTGGCGTTACTGTCACGTGGAAAGATAGCTCAGGCAATGTATTGGACGTGGGAACGGAATCTGAATACTCCGAAGAGGTTCAAGTATCCACACTGAGTCTACAAAACGTTCAGTTAGAGTCCGTCTACACTTGTGCAGTGAATTCAAAGGAATTTGCGGAATCGGAGTCGGCAGATCATGTTATCACATTGAAGACTTATGGTGATTCATTTCATTGCTTTATAGCCTTTAAACCCACTTTTTATTGCAAATGGTCGAATAAGAGTTCGTTATGGAGACATTGCATTGTGAGCACGCGTCCCTTATAATGATGCTATTAACTAATTAACTTATTAACACTGAAATCAACATTCGTTCTTATCAGACGTGATACCTTCACCGGACCACCTAGTGAAGACTGGAACAGAGGTAACTTTATCTTGTGAGATATCAGACCTTGATGAAGCAGTCAGTGTTGAATGGTTGAAAGATACAACAGTCATTTCACACGGAGGAGACTACACTGTGTCACTAAGCAATCTGGAGTCTGGTAAACAAACAGCGACTTTGCTAATAGGAGGGGCAGCAGTAAAACAGGACTCTGATTACACTTGTAGAGTAAAGTCAATACAGTATGACTCGTCACCCTACTCGGACACACAAATCAGATTGGAAGTGTATGGTGAGTTTTAACCAAACTAACCACAGTTATGATTCGGATAGTTACTTTTGTGGATGGTTAAAATTATGCGTGACTAAGATTACATACTTTTTTAGTTAGTAAGACATAATAATTAATACTTTAACTGATAACAACTCTTGATATTGGCTTTTGAGTGGTGCAATGTGTTACCTGTGCATTTTTCAGAGGTGGAGATGACCTCACAAGCTGTTATAGTCGGCGGTGCAGCAACCATAACATGTGCAGTAACTGGACTAGGATCCAATACTGCCGAAATCTCTTGGCTTCCAGATGCTAGCGGACCTGTTTCAACTGGAGATCTTGATACGAACATTAGTTCCCGAACATCAACGCTTACAATAGCTAAAGTGACTCAAGAGACATACAATATAAATTTCATTTGTGTGGTCAAATCGGACTCAGAGAAGTACTCAAACTCTCCTGCGTCAAATACTGAGAAACATGTCAATTCTTTCAGTAAGTATTCAATAATCAATACAGGTCGAGGCTATGTCTGCTGATTTCCTAAACAGTTTCAAGCGTATCTCCATTTTATCAATCGTCACACATAAGTTAGAACATTGTTGTATTTTATATTCATTAACAATTTCTAGGTGTAGAAGTGAGCCACAGAGAGGTGAAGAAGAACACGGAAACGGAGATATCGTGCACCATAACAGAAATTGGAGCTGCTATGGAGATTACTTGGACAGGCTATACAAATAAGAACTACTTTAACTTATCGCCAGCAGTGGCAATTGGCCGTGATTCTGAGTCGCAGACCAGTACTCTTATTGTCGGATCGGAAGCAGTAGTTGCCGATGCTACTTATACTTGCACAGTATCTTCTGTGGTAGAAGGGAACCTATTTGAAACCAAGAACTTTGACGTTCAACTATTTGTCTACGGTAAGAGGAAAACATGTACTCTGCATTCGATACTTAAATATTAGTTAAATACTTGTACAAGTACGAATAAGTTTATTTGTACAATAAAAATATTTACAATATTTACAAATTTTGAACTTCATTAACGCTTAATTAAAATTGCAACAACAACTCACATCCCCCTCTAGATGTGAACGTTCACGACAGAGAAGTAGCTAAGGGGACCACAACTACACTAACCTGCATCGCGTCTGAGTTAACTCAGGAAATGGAGATCAAGTGGATCCTCGAAGATGTAGAATTGGTGTCGAGTAATGAATACACAGTAACTGAAGTGAACAATAATGGCTTATATGAATCACAAGAATCAAAATTAACTATTCTCAACCCAACTAAATCAGAAGACTTTACCTGCCGAGTATCCTCGACTCTTTATCCGGAGAGTCCTAGTTCTGAAACCGTTGTCCATCTCTACGTTTTCGGTAAGCTATCACATATTTACTCTTATTTACTCTAATTAACTCCAATATCACGATCTATATGTATTCTTTTGATCTCGTATCGTATTAGTTAACCTGTTAACCAAGCCACTCACAGATATAGCAGTAACAGGAGTAGAAGTTAAACAAGGAGAGGCTGCCTCACTTACCTGTACCGTGACTAACTTTCTTACAAGGTGTGTAACCGTCGAATGGAAATATAAGCAAGTGACAGTTATTGAACCTACTGATTACAATGAAGTTTCTGTACTGAGTTTGAAAGACGTTCAATCAGATTCTGTGTACACTTGTGTGGTAAAATCTAAAGAATTTCCTGAATCAGAGGCGACTGAGGAGACTGTAAACTTGAAAACATACGGTAATTTAGTTATTTATAGTTTATCAAATTGTTATTTCCGTCTCAGCCCTTACAATTCTACGTTCCCCCTTTTAAAATCTCTTCTCTAATTATAATATCAGTTATCAATCATCCTCAGTCGTTACACCAAAACACCGCCAAGTAAAGATGGGAACAGAGATAACATTATTTTGTGAGATATCAGACCTTGATAAAGCAGTCAGTGTTGAATGGTTGAAAGATACAACAGTAATTTCACACGGAGGAGACTACACTGTGTCACAAGGCAGTCTGGAGTCCGGTAAACAGATCGCAACTCTAATGATAAACACGGTTACAGCAGACACAGTTTTCACTTTTAGAGTCCAGTCAATTCAGTATGATAACTCTCCAAGCTCCGACACGGAAGTCACACTGCGGGTTTACGGTAAGTGCTTTTAGTTATACCAAATTATATATCGAAGATTCAAAAGCCTATTACTAAAAAATGAGAAGCGTCAAAAAAGCTGTTTTCAAAAAATAGTAATGAAGATAATTTTCTATCTAGTTCCTGATTACTAGCCTATTGAATTGTATACTGGGCGATCTTTGAGTTTGTGGTCATTGCTACTAACAATCTGTAGTTTGTATAATTTCCAGGAGTAGAAAATCTCCAAAAGGCTGTTCTTGTCGGCGATCCAGCATATTTGACCTGCAAACTAGTCGGACTATCATCCAATGACGTGGAAATATCGTGGTTACCCAGCAATAGTGGAACGTCAACTCCTGGAAATCTTGATACCACGACTGGGGTCAAAATATCAACCCTCACTATAAGTAATCCTCAAACAGATAACACTTACACCTGTTTGGTCAAGTCAGAGCTTTACCCGGACTCTCCTCCATCGGAGACTGAGCAACGCCTGGATACTTTCGGTAAGTAGTCAAGTATGGATCACCACCCCCGCGCTTAAAGAGTTCTAACGTTTAACACGAACTCAAGTAATACTTTTTGTTTGCTACACGTTCATTTGGCGGAAATTTCCAGCTCTTATAGAAATTTATTATAGATCGTACTCATGATGATTAATTTATTTGATCTAATTTTATATTCTCATCACTCAATTTTCAGGTGTTAAAGTGACTAACAAAGAAGTAAAGAGTGACACAGAGACAAGTATGTCATGCACAATAACAGATATTAAAACTGATATGAGGATCACCTGGTCGGGGTATCTCGATACTGATATTATAAACTACAGTACCAATATTGACGATTCAGTCAGTGGTTCCCGAAGCAATGTTCTGACAATAAAGTCAGGAGCAGTCAGCACTGATAGGAAGTTCACATGTACTGTTCAATCGGTTCAGAGCTTGGTATCAGAGATCAAAACCTTTGACGTTCAACTTCTTGTTTATAGTGAGTGCAGAATGCATAGCTTGTATCGATTTTAAAAGTGATCTTAAGCTCAGGATGATAACAAAGAGATGCTATGACCTGTATTATATATATTATATATATATGAATATCTAAATTAGGTACAGGTACGAAATAACGTTTTAGTATAATAACCATCTTACACAGGTGTTCATATCCAGAACGGAATTGCAGCTAGTGCAAGTACTTTTACTCTGACCTGCATTATTTCCGACCTAACTCAAGAAGTAACAATAGAGTGGCGTCTGGGTGACAATAAGTTGGAGACTGAGGGGAACTACTTAGTTGATGTTGTAGATAGTATCCACACAGACAGATCACAGATATCGCACTTGACCATCCTTCAAACAACTCAATCAGAAGTTTTTACCTGCCAAGTAGCTTCGACACTTTATTTGGAGAGTCCAGTCTCTGAAACCTTAGTCTATCTAGACGTTTACGGTGAGATTTAACGCAACCAATAAGTGATTTCGTGTTCATCCTTATAAGTCTCAGTACATCAAGACATGAAATAAGAAGTATATCATTTTAAACAATCTATCAAAGTCAAATCACAACTTAAAACTTTCAAAATCCACTCTTTTTGCAGATGTAGAAGTTCAAGACAGAGAAGTAGTTACAGGAACCACAACTACGCTAACCTGCATTGTTTCTAGCTTAATAAAACGAGCTAAATCTGTATCTGTCGTGTGGCTTCTAGGGAGTGAGGAGTTGAATTCGAATATCGTTAATGTCTTCAACACTGATGGATCGCAAATAACATCAAAATTGACCATCCCCAATCCGACTAAATCGGAAACTTTCACCTGCAAAGTATCTTTAGATAGTCCCATCTCATCAACCCCAGTCCATTTATACGTCTACGGTAAATTTTATAATTTATTGTTCCGATCCCAATATGCTTTTTTATGTTCAACTTTTGATCTTTCTGGAAATCTAAGTTCAAATCGTTTTCTAACCAAGCCTTTTTTCAGGTATAACTGAAGGAACAGGAGTGGAAGTTAAACAAGGAGATACAGTCTCACTAACATGCGCAGTTTCAAACATCCGACAAACTGGTGTGACCATGCAATGGATTGATAGCTCTGGTTCGGTTACGGAAACTGTTGATTCCAGTACTGGAGCTCAAATTTCTGTATTAAGTTTGGAGGACGTGCAATCAGATTCTTTTTACACTTGCGTGGTAAAATCTAAGGAATTCCCTGATTCGGAGTCGACTGAGGAGACTTTCATTCTAAAAACATATGGTAAAAATTCATACCAAAATTTCATACAAGTTTTGTCATAATTTATGTTTCAGACGATGATGCCAGAATTAAAATCACCAATATTCTCCCTTTAATTGTAACTTAATTTCTCATACCAGTTTATATCACCAGCCGTGAAGCCCAAAGATCAAGAAGTAGAACCTGGGAGTGACGTGACGTTATCTTGTGAGATAACCGATCTGGATAGCACAGTTAATGTTGCGTGGGTGAATGAAGCAGGTGACATTGTTACAGATGGAGAACAGTACACAGTGACACACTCTCAGGAATATAATTGGGATCACGTGACTACTCTTGCGTTAGAGGGCAGTACTGTTACAGAGGATTTGTCGTTCACATGCAGGGTGAAGTCAGTTGAGTTCAGTAACTCTCCAAGCTCTGACACTGTTGTAAAACTGGTAGTCAATGGTAAGTTTTATTTTGATGTTTTGTTATGTAGCTTTCATGTTTAAGTTCAGTACACATTTAATAAACAATCTGCTGAGTACATCAAGTCACTGGCTGATTTCAAGTCACTAGCCCTCTTTATGTATAAAATATTTTAAAATCAAAGGTTTTTAATTCCCCTTTAATTAATTGAACTAACAAATCAGGCGTCTGCATGAAAGAGGTATCACTGACATTGGGGAAATTTGGGAAGGGACCTTGGGTGTTCAATGAGACGAGAGGAAGACAAGAGTTCTCCATCGCTTGTACTGATGGGTATGTTAGGAGGGCGTGTTTACGAACAGGACAGTGGGATGATATAGAATCTTCTAGCTGTACTTTACTCGTGGACAAGATCAACAGGGAGATTGATAGTTTAGTAAGTAGAAATAAACTTTTCACTTGTACAATTAATATTTATCGTTAATTGGGATATCCAGGGGGATTTAAAATAATCATACCCTGATCATATCGAGTCACCTTGTATAACTATAAGCAATGTGATATCTGCATTTAATAATTCCTTCAGGGTGAAGAGGCCACTTTTGAGCAAGTTGAAAGTGTTGTGAATAACTTGTCTGGGATGGATGAATATGTCAAAGATAATCCCCACAAAGCTGGTCAAGTTATCAACTCCTTGTCAAAACTCAACAGCAAATTCCGTGTTGTTAAAACTCCCAATGCTGTGGATTTAGTAAGTCGTCCAATTTAAATAGAACGACTCTTCAATGAACTGATATGTCGTTTCAACTGACTCAATCATTTTAAAAATATCATTTGAACATTTCATGTTTCATAAGAACTTTCCAATTTCCCGCAGTTTACAATAATATGTTAGGGGTCGTTCACATATTACGTAATCAGCTGAGGGGGGGGGGGGGGGTTCCAAATGATTACGCTAGTGTAATTTTGACACAATAGCTATGTGTAAAACTGATTACGGAGGGGGGGGGGGGGGGGGGGTAAAAATGTTCCAAAAAATGATGACGTAATATGTGAACGACCCCTTACAACCAAGAGTCGACCGAGGGCAGGATTTGCGACCGAGGCCGAGGAAATTTTGCTTTGATAAAACCGAGGCCGAGGAAAAATCGCTATTCCTCAGTGAAACCGAGGCCGAGGACTCGGTCGACCCTTAAAATCTTCAAAATTTCGCCGAGGCCGAGGAATAGCAGCTTAATTTTTAAACGAGGCCGAGGCAAACCGAGGAATTGTCCTCCTGACCGAGGCCGAGGACAAGGCCGAGGAAAAATCGCTATTCCTCGGTAAAACCGAGGCCGAGGCCGAGGCCGAGGACTCAGTCGACCCTTGGTTACAACTCATGACATACAACGGTTTAAATATTTTCATCAGTGTATATTTTGAATTCCAAATTTTCATATATTTTCAGAAAAAGGCGGTGCTTGGATCAGTATCCTCTGTTCAAAACGTTAATAAACAAAGTAATATACTGAAAGATGAAGATAAACAGCAAATTATTCCCATGATCGAGGCCCTCGCTCAGTCAGTCGGTAAGAATATGGTTTTAATACAATAGTACAATCCCACACTTTGCAACATCAACCCTGTTTTAGTAACACAAGCGCTAAACCTGTGCACTGCACAGGTTTAGCGCTTGTGTTACTCAGCAAATTTCACACTGCACAGTGTGCAGTGTGAAATTTGCTGAGTAAAAACCAACGCTTAATAAAATGTTTATTCTTGACTCAACCTACAATGAAACTATAACACAAATATGTTACAGTTTTAATTTTTAACTTTGATATGCATGGTATTTAGATTTAAACTCTTCAGATAGCACAGAAGGCACTCTAGTAAATGAGCAAATTACTGTAAAATCGGTCAGCAAAAGTAACGAACCCATCACACTTGAGAAGCCTAGCGAAATGAAAGGATCGGCAGTAATGGTGGGTTTCACTTACTCGGCTTGCAAATATATTGTCGCTAATTGCTCCATTACGTTTTAGGGCGCTAGATAAATCAAACATGAGAGGATTTATTTGTGAAAAGTACCCAAAAACCTTTTCTAGGGTTGTATAATGTATAACATATTAACAAATCATGAGAGAGATGGAACGATTGAGTAAATTACTATAACACACAAGTACTTTTACCGTTTCAGTTCGATTTCGGAAGAAACCGAGCCACAAGAGCAACAGTAGCAGTTATGGCTGAAGATTTTATGGGTATCTTACCTCAACCATTAAGTAACGGAACTATGGAGTCTCCAGTAATATCTGTGAATGTAAGAGATTTTTACGATTAATTACAGACAAATACATGCTATTAAATAACCTTAAATAAAGTAACTTAGAGTCGCACGATAGAGTTGTGTTTAAAAAATATTACAATGTAGTCAAGATCTGAATTCAAGAGCGTATTTTTAAGTGGCTAATAATAAAAATCTTATCAGTTTATGGAACAAGAAGGAGAAGGTTCCGCAGAATTCACTATTCATTTTCCGAAGGAAGCGAACAAGTCTAGTTTCGTGTAAGTCGTGTTATCGTCAACGGTAATTTGTTCAACCAAAATACAAATTTGCTTCCTCCTTTCGAGAGAAAAGTCTACTGACCCTTGTCCCACACTATATTATCATAAACCTACTCCCCTTAACATGACTTTGTGGCCAACAGAAAGGGAATAGAGAAGAACTACACTTGCGTATACCTGGACACTGTCACCTCTGAATGGAAGGGGGACGGGTGCGTGATATCTTACAAACCTGACGGTGGTCACACCTGCTCTTGTAACCACACAACTAGCTTTGCAGTTCTGCTGGTCGGTGGTTTTATGATGTAGCATTTTCAGTTCTTGTGAATAATTTCACGGTTTTATTTGCACAGATGGTACTAATACTACTATATAATAGAATATAAAGACTAAGGGTCAATTATTCATTCTACACGTCCTATAGCATATATAAGTAATGTTGGAAATTTTAAAGTTGGAACTTAAATATTTTCAGAGTTTGACAGATGTAACAGATCCATATCAAGATCTCGTGTCCTATATCATGTTGGGAGTAAACATGTTCTTTCTTCTCATTACATTTTTGCTTGTTGCTCCATTCAGGTATTTCCACTATTTGTTAAATCGTTTTATAATTACTCTATATAAGAGGAAATTCTTGGCTCACAATTTTGTAAAAGATACTTGAAAGTTGTCCCAACATCACTAATATCAATGACCATTAACGGGCATAATAAATTATTATTCACGATAGAGAGCTGAGGAGGAAACAGTTGGCGATATGCCAAGTGAACCTCATTTTATCTCTACTCCTTGCTAATGCTGGGTTTACTGTTCTCTCTTCTTTAGCAGTAGTTACTGTGGACCACAGAGGCGTGAGTACAAAACACTCATACAGTTTACTTTTCAACATGAACTTTTAAACAGTTATTTGCATCATAAAACCGGTCATCCTACAAATCCAAAAGCAAACTTTCGACCAGTACAGGTTATTAAAATTAAAATTAATATAAACCATGGTTCTACCTTTCTACACTATCTACTACAAATATTGAAATGAAGATGTTTTCTATTTCAGATGCCGATGTTGAGCCTGAACACTGGTTGTGTGACAGGAGCAATCATTGTACAGTATCTCTTCTTATGTTCCTTTAGCTGGATGGCTTGTACTGCTTACACTCTACACTCCAAGGTACTGGTCTTTGGTTGGGTGTTTAAACATCGTTTACAGTTCACACAAAGGGGATAATTGTGGATAAGGAGTAACATTAGCATAACCATTTCAAAACTGCCGGCCCGTCCCATAACCTAGTTGAAGTTGTACAGTAAAACCAGGTACAACTTGTACCTGGTTTTACTGTACTACAAGTTACCAGCTCCTGGATTACCCTACCTGAATCAAAATAGGGATCGGTATTTGAGCCAAACAATTCCCAGTGAACCATAATGTTCACATATTCACATTTCACTCTTGCAGATTGTGGATGCACTGAAGAGTTTTGGTAGATCAGACCCATATTACATGTTGAAATGTGCGCTGATCAGCTGGGTATCCCCAGGTCTGTTGCCACTGACTGCTTTCACCGTGTCCTACGCTACCAACTACAGGAGGGATCAGTACGACTCATCTTATGTCGGTGGGTGTGTTTTAATTTGTGAGAGGGTGTTCTTTAAAAATCATAATTGATGAATACTGGTTCAAACAGTATTCAATTCGTTTGCTAATAGAAAACATCTTCATACTGGCGAAAAATGATTTATGTAAAATGACATGAGACGGGCGGTATCTCACTAGGTCTACATTGCAGGGAAGCCTGGCGCGGAGACAGGGAGTGTCTGCTGGGTGGAGAACCCCTGGAGACTGTACACCTTCATGTTACCCTGCTACCTGATCTTGATGGTTGATGCGGGCTGTTTCGTCATGATAGCTAGGGTTGTTATCAAATCCGCCAAAGCTGGGAGTAATCCATCCAACCTAGAGGTGAGTAGTTAAGAGTTGAAGCAAATTAAAATTAAACACTACCGTGACTCAAGACAGTATTCAGGGTTAAACATTTCACTGTATCGCAAAGTATCGCACAGATTTGCACAGAATTACACAGTTTGCACAGTATAATCCACAGTATAATCCACGACCACAGTATAAGTATAACACATGAATCATTCAAATCTTCAGAAAGCGGCTAAAGCATTGTTTGCAGTGGGAGCGTCTGTGGGACTCCCCTGGGTGTTTGCTGCCCTGACAATTATAAAGCCTCTTGCTAACGTGTTCCAGTACATCTTCATCATCCTGGCTGGACTTCAGGTCAATATTTTAGGCATGCTTAAATATGGGCGAGTCCAAATTCCTTAGACAAATTTGAACTATATTTGCTTTGACCAAACAAGTTGAGGTAGCGTAATACTTGATAGATCGCTTCTTTGTTCATCATGTGAGACATATTATACCATTACCGCTATGCGATCTTTTGTTTTTATGGAAGTTTCAAATACACCTATTATCCGGTTATATATATATTAATCGGAACTCTTCATAACTCTTTTTAATTGATTTCGCTAAAATAAGCATTGTTATAGGGACCACTGCTGTTTGTAAGCTTGGTAATTCTTCAAGATGATATCAAGATTCACACGTTAAAGCTATTCGGATTTACACTACCGAAAAAAGGAGATCGACCAACAACCTCTGCAGCCGGTCCACAAACTGCCACTACAACTATTCAACCATCAGTTGGGCCATCGGGTAGCCGAACAGTCACTACCAAGGTTAATTCATAATTATCATGACAATATTTATGAGAAAAATTAGGCTTTTCCAAACATATTATTGCTAGTGCTAATTAATCGATTATTTTAGTAATTGTGTGTGACCTTTGTATATAATAATCACTTATATAATCAATTCATACTTCAGGAAATCCCTGAATTTAAATTTGTGGCACCACAAGAATCAGCTGAGCTTATGACCAAACCACCGTAAGATAATGATATTAGTTCATTTTTAAACTGTGTCCCACATATAACCAAATTACAAAAGATCTAATCGATTTGTTTTTCAAATTGAAATTCCACCTCTTGTCGTAATGTAATACGTACAAAGTATTAACTTTGTTACTTGTTGCAGAGCATGGGGAGTATTAAAGTAAAACCATCGCATCTTCCGTATCGACTTATAAAAATAAATACCATCTTCATTCTTCAACAGAAACAGCGAAAACGTGATATCAAGAAGTAACCCTGAATTAGTTATGAAGGAAGATGAGAACGAGCCAAGAATCATTTTGCTACCTGGCCCATGCAGCGAGGAAAAGTACTCAAACCATTATGAGAAGTATGACTTGGCGATTCAGCCTAACACTAACAGCAGCAACTATCCACTGAACTATGAAAACGAGGAAGAGAACATCGTGATACCTATTGTGAAGATTCCAATACGGTCCAAGGGCAAGGAGATAAAGATGCACGGTTTCGATAATAAAAAAATCAACTACACCTGCTGACCTATTTAGACGAGGATTTTAACGAAAGGAAAACAATTAACTCACCAAACCAGACTGAACAACGAACAGTTAGGGGTCGTTCACATATTACGTATTATCACGTTTTGGCCAATTTTTGCCCCCCACCCTTCGTAATCAGTTAAATACACATAGTTATTGGATTAAAATTACACTAGCGTAATCATTTGGAAACCCCATCAAGGATTACGTAATATGTGAATGACCCCTTAGGCATGATCTGACAAACTGTTATTATTGTGAAATCAGACATAAGAAAGCAGAATGTGATCACACAACCGATGACGGATGGCCATTTCTCAGATTTTATAAGTGAGAATCTTAGTTCGGCCTTTTTAAACTTTGAACAAGCAATAAAACAGAGTTGTTATTTTGCGGCCCATTTTTAGATTAAGAACGCAACTTTCGTTTTTCAGATTTTACGTTTTTTATTTTGCGACTATTTTATCCTTTTGATTTCGTTTTGGATTGATTAATATAATAATATAATACTTCCTTTAATATAGTTTTTAGGCCTTCCAGCTTTTTATGATTTTTCGCGTAATTTGTTCAATTTTATTTGATTTTGTTTAGATTTTACTATTGTTCCACTTATTCCATAGTACTAACTGTATAATACGGATGTTACTTCTAGCTGTTACTTTTAGCTGTTATTGTTAGACCTTTTGCTTTTAATAATTTTAGCTTCTATCTTGTTAAACAAAAGCAGCTCAATGAAGTTACCCAGCGACGGGCTGGAATAGGGGCTATTATCAGACACCACCGAACACAGTTAAAAATCTGTTTACGATTGACATGCTCCAAAAAGCACATATAATAAACAATAAATTTTGAAACATTACAGCTTTGTAAGTACAGTCATAATGAGGGTAATATCATAATTTGAAGATGAAGTTACTAAGCTTTCCAAGTATTGCACTCGTATAATAGTAGTAATGTAATTGTAAAATATTTTGACGCAATAGTTATCAGGATCTATGTTCTGCAATATATCGGAATGTATGTTCTGCAATATCTGTACTTTAACAGACAGTTTAAATGAAGTCCCATCATCAAGCTTCGGCACCACTATAAACAAAAGTTCATTCAAACGGTGCCATAAAAATATAAATAAAATAAACGACATCTTTATTGTCAGTCTCTCAGAAACGGACTCGAATTCTGTCATGACTCAGATGGACATGTTTGTATCTTCAACACAGTCAGTTAAACTGGTCGGGCTATCCTCTTCTCTTCCTAGACTTAGAATCATTGTCACCGGGCCGTTTCAAGTTCTTTACATCAGTTAAGAACTGAGTAAGACCGAATGGATCCTCCTCAACAATATCTTTTTCAAACTGAACAGGTCCCTCGTGCCCACGAGAATGGTCCGTTCCAGCGAACTCTTTATCTGCCACAAACCTGTGAGGGAGTGTTTGTGAATATATGCGGACGTTTTTATTTCACTGTGAAACAAAAAAAGCATGGTGTATCTTATTAAACGAAATCAATTAATTAGTTACCTTACTCGGGATTATTATGACCGGGATAAAGTGGTGGGTTTAGGGTAATTTCGCCATATTTTTCCCGAACCACATTTTCACCGGTCGTTAATAAACCCGCCTACTCAGCTTTTAGGGTTCCCAAGGGGTATGGGTGCTCATATTTTAATCGTTGTCTTATATTCACTAAAGAAGACTATTGGGACACTTGTTGTAGGTTTTTCGACTTCATTTGGCTAAAATTGCAAAAAATTCACCTTTTTGCCCAATTCTTGTCATATATCCTTATTGTCAAATTTGATTTAAATAGGCCAATTTTTAATTTCTTAGGTATTGACTATCTCTACATAATGAAATAGGACTCAAAGTAAAAGTAACAGTTAAATTAAAACTTGAATTAATTAAAACTGATGAAAGGGATGATCCAGATGAAGATAACGAAGATGATTACAACTTATTGGAAGACTAAACAGCTCTCCCTTTATCTTAATATTGATCTGGTTTTTACGCTTCAAATGTTAAAAATTATTTTCCATCTAGTTTGATTAACCACGAGTCATTATTTCTGTCTACTTTCAACAATTATTGATAATTCGACTTGTTTCACAAGTTTTAGCAATGCGAAAATTTCTAAACTTGCTTATCTCTAATAAGGAAATTTACATCTGAGACAAAATTTTTGAATCTAAAATTGAAAGGTTGGACACCGGTAAAATGGCGACCGGGAAAATGTGGTGGGTTGTGAGCAATTTCGCCATATTTTTCCCGAACCATATTTTAACCGGTCGTTAATAAACCCGTCGTAATAATCCCGAGTAAGGTATACAATATTCATTGTAGTGACTTTTAAGATGAAGCTGCACATTAGAGTGAAACGAGCTATTTATCAATCGAGACAGAATCACAAAAAAGTTTAAGCTAAACGTACCTTTTGTTTTTGGTGTACTCCTCGACATTATCACCGTACAATTCACTATCCAGGTCTTTCTTGGGACGATATATGGTGTTGGCAGCACTGCCGCCACCTTTACGCCACGGCTGGTCGTACACATTGTACTGATCATCCGCCAAACCGTAACCTGATTGGATTGGAAACAATATTACCATGTGTCACTGTGTATTGGTGACAATTTAATCGTATATTTGGTGTAACGAAGTCATCTTGCATGGCAAGCAAAAATCACGCAAGCGCGCGCTGTTAAATTAAATATATATATATATATATACACTACACGAAGGCCAACGCAGTTTACAACTTTAAAAGCCAAAGATATCTTACTACCTTACTTCATAGACAATTTTAAAATTGGGACGGACAAAATAAACTGTTTTTTTGGAAATTTTGTAAATTTTGATAATTTTGAAAATCTTTCATGATCGATAAAAATTATTTTATAAAGGAGCAACATGTCATAGCGCTACAATTCATTATTCTATTTGGCACTGATGATTGGTATTGTTTTTATACATATCATGAAACGGATCGTTTGCCCGCCAATTTGATTTGTTTCAATTGTTCGAATTATAATGCTCCTGCTTAACTGCAGTCGAGCACTCTCTTTGGGAAACCAAACAACAACTATTTATTATATATATATATATATATATATATATATATATATATATATATATATATATATATGTCGCGTGCGTGAAGCAAGTGCGTTCAATGGAATACGATTTTGTCGCTGCGCCGTACTGTTATGTATGACAAAATTAAAATGATATGACGTCACATGAACTTATTCATTGTGTATTCAGTTGCCAGCACAGTAAGCACAGTATTCTTAATTTGGATGCATGGACGACACGCAACCAAACAAAAACCGTTGACCGAGCCGCAGCAGTGAGTAATTGGTACCTGAATCAAGACCACTTGAAGCATTGAAGAGTCTCTGATCGTATAGCTCAGCTTGACCTTGTGCTGCTTGTCCCAGAGCTATTTTCTCTGTTATATCCCTGTCCTGAAATAATCGTACGGTAATATTCAGTAATTGTTAAGCGAATATGTGTTTAACATGTTCTTTAACGGATATACATATCATTTACAATAAGCCGAACGAAACAAGATATCTTCGACTCCGCATGTAATAATTTACCTCCATGGATCTCATTTTCTCAGCTTTTCCGGGGTTAGCTCTCTTGATTCGTCTGTCTCGTTCCCTCTCTTTGTGACGATCTCGTCTCAAGTCGTCTCTTTCAGCTGCCTCTGTCTCTTCAGGATCTCCTAAACAAAACTCCAATTACGAAAAGGAAATAACCAGGATATTGGTCAGCAATTTGGGCATTTTTGAGATCAGAGTGCGAAAAATCTGGCAGATAAGAGTATACACGACCATATCAAAGAGATTATTTATCATTCGAAACCACTTCATAGCCACTTCATTTACCTCTAATAATACCACTTCTTTCATCTCTTGCTTTCTGTGCAATCAGCCTCAGTTTCTGCTCCTGCTCCTCCTTCTCCTTGGCGGCCATCGCTTTCTCAATGTTAGCTCTCATATCTACTGCTTCACGAGCTTTACGATCAGCTATGTAAAGCGCTTCAGCGAACTTTGCAAAGTTATCGTTGATTGTGTTGTCCTGGAATGTGGGGATGATAAGCGTTTGCCAAATAATAATGAATAAATAATAGATCAAAAGTAAAGACAATCTGATATTTCGGTAATCATTTTCCTCATTCAATAAGGGCACAAATACTACAAAATTGTAAACAATCCGTTAAATCCTACTTAAAGTAATTTAGTAATACCTGTAGTCCACGCCCGTCAGCAGCCAGCCTCTTGTCAAGAGGAATAGTGTAACCTCTAGGATTCTTCCAGTTACTGATGCACGGGGGTATTTTCCATTCTTGCTGCTCCTTCACTGTTACCTGAAGTCATATCGTCATCAATATTTACAAACAGATACTATCTTGATTCGTACACATTTCGTCTTAAAATCAAATACAAATATGTCTAACTCTAGACCCACATCCCAGTAGCAAGCCAGAGTATAACTAAACAATACCTTGCGAGTGGGACTGTGGAGGACTGGTGCAGGTGGAGAGGGTGGTCCCCTGGGGATCTTCTTGTTGGTTTTAAATTTAGGGGGCTCCATCGGGTCTTTCTGTGCTTCTACCATCCTGATTATCCTTTGCTTTGCTCCTAAAATGTGTTATGTCAAATTATTTATTGTTTAACATAAACACTGTGTATTGTTCGGTTAAAAGTATCTAGTACTATGCTATCTAAAAATTTCATTCTGGAAATGTGATTATCATTTGAGATGCTAAGCCTCCACATATCCCACGAGAGTAACCAGCGACAGATGGCAGTTCCCGCCACCAGATTGGTCAGACTCTAACACCATGAAACTGACATCATGAAACTAACCTGAGTTGTAAGCGACACCCTGCTGTGAAGGAGTATATCTGACATATTTGGGCGGTTCCTTCTGACCGTTAGCTATTGCTACTTTGTTAGGCAGGGCTGCTGAGATCTGGGGAACACATGGTTATGTCAGGTATTATAGAGATTTGGTGGGGGATGGGTTCTGCTACCCGCATTGTGAGACAAGTATCACAGTGTTTAAGTCATGTTAGGTCTACTGTATTTCATCTGCCCGTTCAGCTCCATTGAATTCTGTTTAGTGTTTACTGTCAGCAACGTTATATCTCCAATATCCATACCTTAGCATTGATTAGTTTCTCGAGAGCGTCTCTAGTATCATCAGTAGATTTCTTCACTTCATCTTCATCAGGCTTATCTAGATCAGCACCCTCTGTCTTGGGAAGCAGATCCGTCGGTTTACTGTAAAAAATAAATTTGTATGGTAAAAAACTGCTGATCTTATAAACGATCAAGATCAAAGATCGTGCGATCACGTTTGTACGCTTTAACAGAGTCTGTAATGGCAGTTAAATACAGTGCTGTACACTGTACAACCATCTTCTGACTCTGTTATTAATTAACACAACTTCTGCCGTGTACTATCACGAGCACTAGAGTGGTTCATTTTACCAAAAGTTGTTCAAATAATTAGAAATCATATCTTATTAGTTGCTCTATAGGGTCAGGAACGACCAAAACATTTTTTTTGACTCTAGTGTTCCGGATATGGTCCGCACATGCCACGCCCATTTTTATAGCGTTTCTTATACAGGTAAAATTGTCTAAATCGTCAATTTAGTCATGAAGGAGTATGGAAGGAGTTCTGAATGTGTGCTCCTCTAATATAAACAGTAGAAAATGGTTAACTTTAGTCGAGGTCTCAGGTCTCTACAATGTCGGGAAGTTCCTGCAGGAGTTTGCGCATTGCGCTGAAGCGCGGGATTCACTGCGCCAAAAGTGAAGGTCGTAGAGACATGAGACCTTGACTAAAGTTAACCATTTCATACCATTACTATAAGAGTATGACACTTTCAGAGTCCTGAACACATTCCTATATCACTTAATCGTCAATTATATGAATTTTACCTGTTAAAATATTTCATCTTTAACTGATATCAATTTAGTTTAACACTGTTAGCTTTTAAATAGGAAATAATGCTTCACACCAAACTTACACACAGCATAAAGAAATACAAAAAGATTCCAAATTGAACTTTGATTATATCCTGGGACTGGTTATCATTTCTCGATTGTTCTCCATTCTCCAACGCAGTCAGAAAGTTCAGATTTAGGTAGACTTGGTTTTCGAATCTTCATATGTTCAGCAGTAGGCCAGAAGGGGTTTGGTTACCAGAGGAATTGAATATCTTCGTGGAACAAGGAAATTAATGAGGTCTTCGTTGATTTCTTCATAACTCGTCACTGACAGGATGAGTATTGACGAGATCCACTGATTACTTCATAGCTCGTCATTGATAGGATCAGTATTAATGAGATCGAATGATTACTTGATAGCTCGTAACTAACTGGATCAGCATAACATGACTAACGACTAACGAGGTCCAGTGATATCTTGCTGATTCGTCAAGGTCAGTAAATAACTATAAATATCGAAAAAATTTGCTTACAAATTACAGAGTTCAAATGCCTTCTTCACAACTATCGGCTATGAACGGAACAGATGAATCTCTTGTTTGGCTTCATCTTTTAAAGTGACTCAGTCCCTCTGAAACAAGATAATGCTTAGGACTAGGAGGAACTTAGTTAAGTTCTCGTAGGATTCGCTAAGAGGAAAATTACTTAGTAAGTTAACATTCTTTTGTAGGATGTTACCACTCATCATATCTGTTATCCAGTATAATCCCACAACTAGACCCTCTCATTTTTGAGTCTCGACAATGACTGCAGCAATGTGTACTATTTTGATGCTCGGTCCAGGTAGTCTCCAAGAAAGCCTCCTTTTTGTATACTCTCATATTGTGTGTTAGTTTGGTGTGAAGTAAATTATTTCCTATTTAAAAGCTAACAGTGTTAAACTAAATTGATATCAGTTAAAGATGAAATATTTTAACAGGTAAGTGTCATACTCCTATAGTAATGGTATGAAATGGTTAACTTTAGTCAAGGTCTCATGTCTCTACGACCTTCACTTTTGGCGCAGTGAATCCCGCGCTTCAGCGCAATGCGCAAACTCCTGCAGGAACTTCCCGACATTGTAGAGACCTGAGACCTCGACTAAAGTTAACCATTTTCTACTGTTTATATTAGAGGAGCACACATTCAGAACTCCTTCCATACTCCTTCATGACTAAATTGACGATTTAGACAATTTTACCTGTATAAGAAACGCTATAAAAATGGGCGTGGCATGTGCGGACCATATCCGGAACACTAGAGTCAAAAAAAAATTTTTGGTCGTTCCTGACCCTATAGAGCAACTAATAAGATATGATTTCTAATTATTTGAACAACTTTTGGTAAAATGAACCACTCTAACGAGCACTGTGATAAACGAGCATTTTATTGTATTGTACAAGATGCCATCGTGGAGTAGGTGGTCTCGAGTAGATTATAAAAGAGTAGAAGGCAAAGAAAATTATGTACCTGTAAATTATTCGGTCTTTGCCGTGCCCCTGTCTTACTAGAGCATCGTACTTTACTTTTCCTTGAGCATCAACCTGGAAATGATACCAGCTAGCTGATAAATAACAGTACACAATTATAGTTAGGGATGAAAACTAATGTTTACGAGATTCAAAACAGTAGTATCACTTCACTAAAACTAACCTGCATAGCAATAACTTTAGTGTTACTGTCTCTATCCTCCAGCCCCATATTCAGAGGATACTGCGAAAAGTGGATCTCAGGGAAGGCGCCCCCATCTCCAAAGTCAGATGGGGTACGGGGGGCCCACCCCTCACGTGCTCCATACGGAGGGGGGCCTGATGTGGCTATTGTTTTGATGTCAGGACGGGCAGGTTTTACTCTGTTCTCTACAGGGAGACTGGGGGCTGGTAACCAGGCTTTAATGGACATTATTACCTAGTTCTAGGGGAGGGTGGTTAGATGTTATCTAATTGTGTGATGTTATAAAGCTTTATTTGTTGATATTGAGACTTTGAGATACACAACTTGTGTAAAGAAAACAGTCCAAGTAAGTTTTATAATTGGCAAGAACTTTTGCAGTAAAACGATCAACTACAAACTAAACAATAAATAAACCAAATTTATTCAATCAATTTTTATGCTTCAGAATTCCATAAAATAGTGGTTTGATGTAAATAATAATAACAGTTGCTCGTCTGAGAGGGTCGGTATAGATTGTGTATGTCTGTAAACACTAAGCAATTGCAGAGTTATAGAGGGCCTTGATTTACGTATGATCTTACTACTCCATCATTACTAATATCAACAGAATCATATTCTTAAGAGGGTCAACTCCAAAAGTAAAAATGTAGATCGTCACATCATAAACTATCATCTAACAGCAAGGATTTCAATCTCAAAAGCAATGTTTGTGTGTCCAGGAATATTCCAACTTCTGTTCCCGATCTTGCCGTATCCCTTGTTGGAGGACATGTATATTTTAGATATCTCACCCTCGCTCATACCCTCCACTCCCTCGTCCCACCCATCTATAACGGTGCCTGAAGAGACTTCGGTTAAAATGGTCAATATTAATAGCTATTTGTGTTTTTTTAATGCTACATTATTACAATACTACATTGCAATTGAAACAAGCAATTTTGGTGGGAGAAGCAATTTGTTTCATGATAATGATATTTAAACAATACCAAATAAGCAAATACCAACCATACATATATTATGTAGTATATAATGTTAGTCCGGTGTAATAACTGTGTTTATAATCGCATCAAAGTGGCATCGTATCCACACTAACCAATTCCAGCTTTGTAAGTGAAAGGGTTCCCTCCCTTCGTGCTCCAGAAGACCTTATCCTCCTCATCAGGCAGAAACCCAGTCACGTGACACACCACGGTAGTGCCAGGTTCTACAAACTCTTTCTCGTAGCCTTTACGCAGTATTGTTTTGTACACCTCGTCGTTTATTATTACGATTTCGTCAGATTCAGGGATGTTGAACTCAGCTGGAGTCATACGTTCTCCTGGGTTGGGTATAGTTGGGATCTATTATATGCGGTATGGAAATTAAGCTAAATAAGAAACATTATAGATTGTTTCGAGTTATATAATTATTGTACAGTTTTTTAAAAATTTCCATGGAAGGTTCTCGAACAACAAAGCACACAAACCGTTGAAGAAAGCAGTGATATCCTTGCTAAGTTGCTGGAACCTGCTGTGTTCCTGATCAGTATCAAAGAAGGTGTAGTGGAGTTGTACGTCGTGACACCTGTTCCTGATTAGGTCAGGGTCTAACACAAACTCTGGATCTGAAACAAGGTTCAAACTGTAATTTAACAATATTATGGAATAACATTTATGTAAATTGAAGGAAAGCCATATAACATAATCTCTATTAAATGTGGGATGCAATGAATATTGAATATTAAACAGTACATCTGAAAGCTCAACACTGTTTACAAATATTACGAGCAGAGAGCAATCTATAAAATGCCCAATAACTGAAGCAATTCAATAACTTATACTAACTAATAGCTGTCTTCCATACTACTAACCGATATAAAAGAAGACAGGCATATCCAATTCCTCGCCAGGATTCAAAGTCTGCTCATCGAAACAGAAGCACTGTATCTTGTTGAAGTAAGCTCCCGCTTCAAACGGGGTCACGTTGTAGGTCGAGATACCGGTTATTACGCGGGCGGAGTTGTTTTTAGCAGTGAAGAATGCCAAGCATGTCTCTCCAGGGACCAGGGACACCTGCAATATTTGTGGAATGTAATTGTATATCTTTTTCTATCCAGCATATCCTGCTACGATCATTTAAATGGTTTTAGAAACAATCTTGAAGCAGCCGTGGAAAATATAGATTAAATTTATAGCATGAACCCACCGAGTTCTGTACAGGGGTAAACTCCCAATCCAGACCAGGATTAACAGTAGAGGTAAAGGTAACAGTAACTGGTCTCCAGTCGACCGGTAACATTGTCTTCACCTTCGCGTTGTCCTCCTCACTGTGCTTCTTTGTGGTACCTCCGTACCCTGCAGACAGATCGGAATGTTAGATATGGAATTACAGAGGGAATTAGTTTAATGTAGTCCGGGGAGTCCTCACTCCTCACACTTCTCCTAGAAGATGGCGTTTCTCTTGTAGCATGTATATTGTATAATAAGATAACATTTGGTATCGGAATGTTATAATTATATTTTGTTATCTCGCTCTTGCACACTATTACAACATAAGGTTTTATCTTGTGGTTAACGTTAGGGCCAAGAATACTACAGGAATACTAATACGATACTATATAGTACTATACACCTCTAAAACAACAGACTAGCAAATGCAGAAGGCATACAGACTCAAGTGTGTGATTTTTGAAATAATTGCACTGCTACGAAGATAAAGGCAGAATGGTAATCTGCATAATTTTATGGTCAAATTACTTGATTAAGTGAATTATCAAGTAATATGAGATTGACATATCACAGTCATTACTTGATAAGTGGGTAATCAAGTCATTAAAAAAATGTCTAATCGTAATAGGCCGAATTTGTGTCCACACCTAGATTATAACAATTTGTTTAATACAATCCAGCAAGATTTCAAATGGAACCTATCAATATTTTAAGAAATACGATAGATTCTCATTTTGTAGGTTATTCTCCCCGAATCAACTAACCAGTAGCACTGCAGAATACTTTGTAGAGAGGGACAGAAGCAGCGGACACACCAAACATCAGCAACAAGATGGATATAGTAATCATCATCCAGTCTCTAAACTTCCTGTTCTTCTTGCCATGTTGTTCCAGGTACTGTTGAGCTAGTGCTATCTGCTCAGGGTTAGCTCGGGTTCGAGTGCTTAGGTGTCGTGCAGGTATGTTTAGTCCTAGGGTGATGTTTGTGTGTTGAACAATTTGAAAAAATGTTTAACTTAATCATGGCCAGGGCCAGGGTGGTGACACATAATATAATGTCAATGAGTGATAAAATAAAGAAATAACTAAATTGTAGCAGTTATAAAACGCTTTGATAAAATCATACCAAAAACGATATTATATATTTCAAGGGCATAATGTTTTAGTGGATATGATTAATTCCATACCGAAGATATCAACACAGCGGTTACTCTGATCAACAGTCCTGACTGAGAGTGATATATCCCCATTTCTACACTGGTGTAGTCTCGCTACACTGGTCACGTGACACAACCTTGTCACATGACTTGTTCTGTGAAATAGTCTGACCTCGGAACCACCGTTTCTCAGGAAGGATTGGATGAACTTTCTGGGTACATTAGATTGTGATGCTCTCAGACATATCGACATGTTACCTTCAACATGAGCGGAGCTGTTTGAGGTAGACGTAAGAACGGAAATCAGGGTGATAACAAAATTACAAATAAATATGATAATATTATCACAAAGAATCATTAGAATTTCAGATCATTTTGAGAAGAGTAAATTCAAACAAGAAAATGTGTAATAAATATTTACAAAGAGTTTCACAATCATGATAATATCATGATACTAAGTAATAACTATCAGATTAATTCTAAACCAGTTCAAGTTAGGGAACTCGGGACAAAATAGTCTTACTAAGTATAGTAATTATGGAAATTGAGAACCTTAATTAATAATTTAGAGTCATGATAAGACCAATTCGATATCAGATTTTAATAATTTAGATAGTTGGAACAATTGGTATATTCCACTATTCAAGGCTTGAACTAGATATGCACTTTACAACAATGCATTATTAATCCTATAAAATCAGCTCACTGACAGATCATGAAGTCTCACTAGGTGGCACTGTCATTCTCTGAATCACTTAAGTTTAGAGTATCTAAAGTTGAATTTTGGTTCAGATGCCATGTAGACACCATAGCCGCCCATAACAGCAAAGAAAGCCATCCACACAGAACGCTGCATGACATCTTTCCATGCCCATGAAATGTCCATTACTTTTCGGACCTCGGCCCAATTTTGGAAGTTATCACCACCTCCAGCATTTCTCACCTGAACCACATGACCTAAAAAATGTTAGGTTAAATAAGTAAAATAAATTATAAATTTTTAAGCATTATGATACAAAATGTCTTGATTTGCCATCAATATTAGACTAAAAATCGACAAAATATTCTTATTCAGAATAAAACCAAATTTAACAAGATATTTACTTACTTTTCACGAGTCTAGCAGTAGGTCGCAGTAGAGCTCGAGAGGCAATATTCATTTCAATTACCTGTTGATGTAACAATGTTGTTGTTAATTTATAATTCTGGACAATAGTATGATAGTGAAAACATTATTTTTATCAAAAAAAATCATTCACAAAATCAAGTTTTTGCAATAAGTTTGTGGAACTTGGAAGCATCTAAAAGGATTAAAGAAACAGAAAACAGAATTGGATGAGTTTAAGGAAAGCAGTTCGATAACAATAAACAAAATATACAGTATGTAATAACTCAATCAACTGTTTCAGACATAGATGTATATTGTATACAGTATAAGCCATATAACCACAATTCATGTTAAAATCTTAATTCCTACTTTTCTGGTCAAAGTTCGCGACTTTGTGCGGCATTATTTACACTGTGTTAATCCTGGATAAAACATAAAATACTTCAGCACAATTCAAATTATACACTGAGTATAAGTCAGATATTATCATTAAAAATAACACAGTCATCTTACTGTTTGGATGAGCATAAATGAATATTTAATTTAGAACAAAATAAATTCAGGATGTACACTGTAATAATTTCATACTGTTGAGTGTTGAAACCACCAAACTAAATACAATTAAGAAGAGATTTCAAAACAGTTACTCAGGACCCAACCATTTTACCAGTTGTCCCGATGTTAATAACTCCATGAACCCAACCCCATGCAACAATGCTAATCCTCCCTTCATTGATTTGTTTTTCAGGAGTCACTTGCGGTACTCCATGTCGCCATATAACGTTAACATCGTTTGAAAATGTGTAGAGAGTGCCATTAGGGAGTGGAAATGAGACAGTAGATCCTGACTTGGCATGCTGAAATGCGATCTCACGTTCAGTACCAAATGAGACTGCAACTGTTATATTTTGAACTGCTGCCTTCTCTGGTTTGATTGCTGCAGCATCATGATGATAGGGCTTCCAATCTTTAGTGTCTCTGAACCAATTAAATCTTGTGGCATGAACATCCATACTGAAATACTCTTTAATTGTGTTAATTATCTTATCAAAAGTAGGGTAAGACTGATTTCTTCTGGTGCGATCGTCAGCTATCAAATGGTTGTCACCATGCCACAATTTCCACTCATGATGCTTATTGCCCTCAACTTCCTTCAATAAGTTTTGATATATAGTTTTATCTTCTGATTTGCAAAATAGGTCACTCACAACAATGACATCTCTGGATGTAATCTCTCTGTGATATTTCTTCTGACTACTGCCATTTGCAACTAACACCCTCATTTCAGCTGGAGTATGATCAGGTTTAAAATCAACAGTGTTCTTTATTTTAGGCTTATTGTTGTGATTTCTATTGTTGGCTCCCTTCAGCTGCTCCTCTGCGTTATTTTTAGGAGCAGAACTGTTGTGAGAGGAACTGTTTGTTTCCTTAAATGTGAATCTTCTGCTTAAATCTGAACTGTTATTGTTTTTTATACTATTTCCCCAAGATCCCTCATTTCCAGGACTATTATTACCAGAACTGTTGTTTGCTACATGTCCACGACCAACAGATCTACTTCTCCCTCGCCCAGGACCACGTTGGTTAGGAAATCCACCTCGTGAAAGATGAGAGTTTCCTCGATGTGAGTTTGAAGTTGAATTGGGTCTGTACAATCTCTGGTCATTGATTTCTTTGTTGGATGTTGGCAGTGAATTGGCTAACTCAGAAAGGTTATCCATGAAGCTATGAGGAAGTAAATTGTGTTAAAATCATTTAGAAGTTACTTAACAATACAGAGTTCATGAAGATTAGCACTAGTCACACCTACATCCAGCCTATTGTGGCCAGAAGGCAAAATACAGTGACATCCATCTCAGTGACATAATGAAGGCCAAGGGCCCTGCCGACCCTGCTGCAGGGGGGGGGGGGGGGGGGGGGGCGCAATCTTAATTAGAGGGGCACCAAATTGTCGTTTGAATGTGGGACAATTTGAAAAACTTAACTATGGTAAGTTAGCAAAACTACGTTTTGCTCTAGAAACACACTTTTTTAGAGATTTTACCGGTGCAGTGTATCCTTTGAAATCATCTAATTTGTTCAATTTCAGGGAGGGGCGACAAAAGGGGAGGAGGGGCGCTTTTTCAGCGGGGGGGGGGGGGGGGGGGGGGGGTGCTAACAGGCAACGTTACGCCACTGATCCATCTAAGGGTACAACAAAAATTATCCCATGATTCGCGATCCTTTGGAAAGGCCCCTGCTCAGCAATAGATATCCATTCAATTGGACGTGTCGACCATGGGGAATGCATAGAAGCAGTGTATTATATATTACAAGCTTCCAATTATAGACAAAAATCTCAACTATTGCAAAGGCAATAGTTGTGATTGATTAACTTGGAATCATTAGATTAGATTAGATTAGATTAAGAATTATGACATAAACATCATCACTAGTTTTAGACATTCTTCCTAATTTCTTCATCGTCAGAACTGTGAAGAGTAGCAGACCTCATAGCAAGAAAAAGGAATGAGACATACTGCGATGTAGTAAGACATGTGAGAACTCAGAACAAGAATAAGATATGCAATGTTGAGAACAACTCTTATTGCTTTACGAGGGTACCGAGGAAAGAAGGTGGACACCAAACGTGAGATTCATCTATCAGAATTCTCATACAACCTCATCCCTGCCCCTATGATAATGGAGTAGATCATGTGTTTTGTTTAAAATTTTAAAATTTTAAAAATATTATTGTTAGCCATGTATTGTACGATCTGATCACAAACCTGTTGTAACTCGATTAACGCTGAAAAATCATGTTCTCATTCACAAAACCAAAAAATCAGATAGCACTCAGTTTGACTGTTCAACTCTCTACAGTGATAAAGAACTCAGACAGAAATATCAAAGTGCGATTGCTGAAAGATTATCGGGTAAAACTTATCCAGATGACCCAAATGAGAAAATGAATGAACTTTTTAGTGACATACATGCGTGTGCTGAAGAAACTATACCACTGAAAGGGAAATCCTCTAAACAAAATTTCTCCAGTGATCTAACAGTAGCTTCATTAGTTGCTAAAAAGTGTGATCAGACTCTGAAGATCAAATCAGCCCCAAATGGTAGTGATGTTAGTGGAGATAGGAGAGAAGTTAGAAAGATTCAGAATAGCATTTCTAAGAGACTTGTGCAAATAAATAACATGAAGGCTGATGCTCTAGCGGAAGAAATAAATAACACTGACGATGCTAGAAAGATGTTTGAAGCTTCAAGATCTTTAGCTGGAATAAGAAAGTCGGGTAACATAGTGGTCAATGATATCAACAACAACCCTATTGGTACTGATTTAGGGAAAGCAAACACAGCGAAATCTTTCTTCGAAAAACAACTAACAGAAGGAGTTGAAGCTGGCCTGCAACCTTTTACCTGCGATCCAAAACCACTTGATAACCCCATCACACCAGTTGAAGTTAAACTTGCTGCAAGTAAACTCAAATCAAACCGTGCCAGTGGTCCAGATAATCTCCAGAATGAGCGGATAAAGTACGCCCATCCAATCACTTTTGAGAAGTATGCTGAGGCAATCAACGAGTCATTTAGTGGGAACAAATACATAAGTTCGATAGGACAAGGTATTGTGACTCCTCTACAGAAGCCCGGTAAACCTAAGGGTCCCCTCACAAGCCTTAGACCACTTACACTGTTAAACGGATCGAGGAAGATGCTCACTCAAATTGCCTTAAAACGGGTTGAGAGTAGAATTGACAACTACACCATGCCATGGCAGAGTGCTTACAAGAGAGGTAGGAGCTGCTCTGACATTGTGTGGGCTCAGAGAATGCTCATATCTGTTGTAATGAGGAAGAAATGGACATTTAGCAAAATGGGTATTGATATGAGTAGAGCTTTTGATACCGTGAAAAGGGACACTATCATCAATGTTTTGAAAGATGCTGGTTGTTCGGAGGACGACATTCGTTTAGTTCAATACCTTCTATCGAATACTCTCCTTAGAGTTCGTGTTAACTCCTCACTGTCGGAAGAGTTTGAAAGTTTACTCGGAGCCTTTCAAGGTGACAGTTTATCTGGAAAGCTATTCACACTTATTCTTGCAGCAGCCTTACACCACCTCAGAGCTGTATCTGGGAGACCAAACCCACCAGTATCAGAACTAGGTTTTCCAACTGAGTGGGAATATTCAGACGATTGTGACTTTGCTGACGAGGACATCGAGAAACTGAGAATTTTCCTTCCTACAGTGAAGGAGATTCTCAAAGACTGGAACCCCAGTGACATAAATTTAAAAAGGGACTAGGAATCCAGTCTGGAAAGAAAAAACGGCTACCATATATTTTTAAAACGACTACCATAAATTTTTCGGCCGCTCCGCGGCCGGATAACGATTTCATTTTACTTTGCTAGGTATATTACAGAGGTTTAGTTATTCATTAGTATAGTTATTAATTCATTAGTATAGTTATTCATAATTGCCAAGAGATTGTGAAAGAATTCCTTTCCGGGTCTCGAACTCGCGATCTGCTAATGTAGTACCGACGGATCAACCAACTAGGCTACGATTCCATGTACGCTTTTGTAATATTTACATATAGGGCTTCGCGCGTTCCTGCAACTACCATACTACCATACTACCAAACAGTCCATACTACCATACTGGTAGTAGGAAAATCTTGGATCCTGACAGGAATATCTTGGATTATTTGGTAACGCGCAAGTTAAGCACAAGAACTAGGAATCTGCAGGAATCTGGCATTTGCGCTCGATTCGAACATCTTCTCGGATAAATATAGAATTAAAGTACAGTGCGCGGCGTTACAGTGTGTAACAACCAAGAGCGACTATTTTAAAGTTGATTTAATAATTTTGTTGACAAAAATTAGTCGGCGTGGCTATGGAAATTAATATGGCTAGGAATTAGATTCTTAGATTCCTCACTTTATGTCACTGGGACTGGAACCTCCAAGTAAATGAAAGTAAAACTGAATTCAGTACCTTCTACCTAGCGACAAAATCTGATAAAGATACAAACGGTCAGCCATTAGCTAATAACGAACCATGGAGAA